CTGTAAGTATTGTTAACATGGCGGCGGCATAGTAAAGATTTCAAGTTACACATCAGTGACTACGTATTAAAATGCATGACAGATGTTTTATACAGACAAATTGAGTTGGGAGATTTTTGTCTTTAAATTATTTTGGATTTTGTTCTGTATTGGTCGCATACTTGCAAACTTGTGTTTCCACAGCTGTGAGGGAGATAAATTATCAATCATATCTTCCTTTGCCTAGGCAGTATAAGTGCACATATAAAAACTGATTTTGTTAAGACATCAAGCAAGTGTAAAACCTCAAAAGTTTAGAATACTGATGTTTGCCATGTTGTACAGACACGAAATGCAGTCAACAAGTTGTATATGTCCCACTTTTACACAAAACCTACAAAAAACATTACTCAGACACTGTGTTTGCAAGGATTTTTGCCATGTCATAAATATCTAAAGGGATGTTTACATTTTTTTGCAATAATAATTTAGTTTTGTCCACAGAAGTCATGCAGTGTTAAATAATTGTATTCTAGTCTTTTGAGCTGTTGGTTTCTGTCTTCAACCTCTTATGTTAAAGGTACAGTGTTTAATTTTGTTCTCTTAAAGTAGCATTTTAGCTCTTACAAATTGAGACTGGCTGCTTTTATGTGATTTTGCTCAGATTCATTACCAGTGCCATTTTGTATTTACTTTTCATTACATTGGCCATTTTTTCTTACAGACATAAGAGTAATGTTCAGTGTAATACTTTTAAATACAGAAATGTGTTCAGTGTTATAACGAGATCTAATAAGGTATAATACTATTATATTTTAATCCAATTTTTTTCTTCATCTCATGTACAAGTGTCATAAGAGCAGATCAGGCATAACTTTATGACCATAGGTGAAAATCATGTAAATGTTAATAAATTCTAATGACACTCTACAGGGTTTTGCACAAACAATTCGGCCCTGGGACAAACCATGTTGGCAGGCCTGCACTACATATATTACTCTTTATATGAAAAATGCACATTACACTTAATTAAGTAAAGAAAAAAGAAGGTACAATTATACAGTAGTATAAGATGAACTAAAATATAGTAAATATGAAATATATCTAAGCCATATGTAAGAGGTGGTAAGGTTAAAGAACTTTTATTACAGTGTTTTCTGATCTGTTATGTTTCCTCATCAAAAATATACTTGTTCTGTTTCGTTCACACACATTTACCTCACAAATCCTGCATATTTCTTCATAGTTCTTCTCGTATGATGCCATATCAGGCATAATACAGGAAAAACTCCACTTTGTTTTTGAGCTCCATACACCTTCACTAGAATCATAAGGATGATTTCAGCCCTGGAATTGCTGATCTCTACTGACTTAAAGGTAAAAGGAGCTGCTAACTTGAAAACTACAGCTTCATGACATTCTGAGGTTTGGAGATGTAAACAGACTAATAAACTAGCATTTTGCAAACTTGTGAATGAAACAAAGTACAAACTCAGGGTATGTTTTTGATGAGGTGACAACATGAAAACATGTCTTAAAGCTCACAGGAATCCATTCTGTGTAATATAGGACCTTTAAGATAAGCAGGACAATGTTGAAATTGTGATTTCACTTGACATGTAGTATGGTAGGAATGGGGTTCACTGTGGGAGCAACATTCAAGTATCAAGGATTTTAAGGAAACTGGACCTCACAACAAAAATGAGAAGGGACATACTCAAGGTACTTCACGTAATAAATTCAAATTCTAATTTTGAAAATGGCCAATAACTGATTACGCTAGCTCTGATGAAAGTGTATGTTGTGTGTTACACAGTCTTAGTAAGGTTGTATATAAAGCAGGTGATGGTCATAATGATATGCCTGATAGGGTTGTGTTGAGTTTAGCCCAAGTGCAGCTCTTCCGTGTAGCCTTGGTTTGCACATATTGTTGTCGTGTTGTTAATCAGCAGCGACTTCAGGCGACAAGTCCAGATAACACCGCCTGTCTATCGGGTTCCTCAAACTGGATTTATTGTCATGGAAAAGGTTGTGCAATGAAATAAGGGCTTGCTATGTCATTTCTGCACAAATGCTTATATACATATATATATGTATATGTATATATATATATATATATATATATATTTTTTTTTTGTTTTGTTCATTTCTCACTGTGCCTTTCATATGCAAGTAGGGACATCCTCACTCAAGATAAGTATTTTGTTAAGCTTTTGCTGTCACACTAGAGCTCATATACTTGAAGTGGAAAAAGTGCCAACTCCTGATTGGTCGTGATGTCTGAATCAATTAAAACAAATTGATTGTGTGGTGTGGTACAGCTTAGAGCTGTGCCGCTCTGGCCCACGGCCCAAAAACGCCGAACAGGCCGGTTATTTGTTATTTAAATAATTTCCCTTGTGGATCAATAACATTTGTCTAAGTCTAAGGATAATGATAATAATAATCATGTTAAAAATAATAATATGTCAATAATTTATGAGGCTAAATTATGTGTAGGTTTGTTTTGTAGCAATGTGAAAGCTGAGCATTTCTCTCATTGTGAATGTGCAAATAATAAAATCTCTTTCTGGATTTTATGATTTTATTTAAACGACATGGTTCACCGCCATCCTCATCACACCATCAATCATATTTAATTGTAAAAGTTCCTGTTAATAATGAGAAACTGTATCTATTCTGTGTATTTTTTTATTGTTTTTGTCTTGTACAAGGAGGTCGTCACTCAAGGAAGTGGCGAATGTGTACACGGGTTTGAGCTGTACAATTTTGTGACAGAATTGTGTATTATTGACATAATACAGTTTGCATTAGCATAACTTTGTGATTTAATATTTTAACAATGAATGAAAGGCTTTGAATTTACTACTTTAAAAAATGAATGAAAGACATGAGTGCCAAATCTGCTCGAGCATGACAAAATACTGGGACATTGAGGACTCACTCTGTAGCTTGAATGCATAGGCCAGTGTTGTTGGGAAACCCACGCTAAATATTTTTTCTGAAAGACAAATTTCCTTTATGTTTATCTAATTTAAACTTTCTTTGAATATTTGTTGTATGTTTCTGTGTTATCACTTGCAGCGCAGTGGTAGTGTTTCATACTGCCATTATAGAAAAATGAACAGTTAAAAGAAGCATTATTTTGAGGTTCTTCTTTAAGCCATTTGACGCGGAGTAGAACATTTTTTGTGCTCCTCCTTCATGTTGAAATCAGAAATGAGCCTGACATTCAGTGACTTTTAACAGAAGTTTTATCAAATATAGAGTGTCAATTTGTCCCAAATGTAAAAGTAAATGTAAGTCAAATATTAAAATTAATCTATGAAATATGCTATTGTCTTGGTATTATTATTTTTTGTTATTATTTTTCAAAAACAATTTTATGTGTTCTATCAAAGACCACTCTAGCACACAAATGTGGGGGTTTCTAACAGTATAGTTAGAATCAACACATAGTAGACTATATGTTTGCCATTCCTGTTTTGCAATTATAATAGTTGTCATTCAGTGGGTCACGTAGCTTTTAAGGTTTAGACTTAGAGAGGTATACGCACTGTCTACTCATGACTTATTCTGGTTTCACTCCAAGTGTCTTTCTGTTTTGGACCCTGTTTGTTCTTTGGTCCAGCCCTAAAGGTGTTTAACTAGAAAAATGCATATTATATGACAGGGCATAAAAAAAGAACCATTGATTTTTCTAATTTTGTTCAGGGCTATATGTGTGCAGCTTTTTTTGGTGTGAGCCAGTTACTTTTGAAGTAATGTAAACATTTGAACGGATAACATATGCTCTCCTTACTCTCTGCTCTGGCTTCTTGAAGGTATAGTAAAGTCACTGGACACCGGTGCAGAGGAGGGGTCTCTGTAAACTCCTGAAATGTGACACTGTGGCAACTGTGTGGTGGACAAATGCTCTGTCAAAGGTGGAACATTATTCATACACAGGTAGCAAGGTAGTCTGTTTAAATTATTTATATTTAGCTGTTTGAGTGTAAGGTTTAGGCTACTTCAATGATGTAATTTCCTCAATTAAACAGGACTGAGCGCCATCAGGCTTTCAGTGGGCTGATATACATTTTGTGAACACCCTATGCAAACACCCTTGTCTGACTCAGGCTGAGCGCTTTGAATAAAATTACACTGTAAAATCAGTGCAGTCAGGGCATGTAAAAAGAGGTAGATTTTAGATGCCATTTTCTTTTAGATTTTAGATGCTCTTTTTATTTTCTTTTTTAAATAAGTAAATAATTAATTTTGTGTAACTGGTGATGCCACTGGTCTGTAAGCCCACTGTAAGTGTCACTTGAGTGCTTGGTTTCAGTCCACCACAAATGTACTGTTGGCTGAAACATGATAATGTGGATTTTCTAGTTTCTTTTGAAGACCAAAAAACTACTACTAAAACTGTTATATAATTTTTGGTGATATTTGATCCAGAGAGAGACAGAGAGAGAGAAGAGAGAGAGATGGATATTTGTATCACACATACCACACACAACTATTGGTCATTCAAAACCCGTTATATTAAGGAACCATTCAGCATTTTCACACACATTCAATAGATATTTGTGGCAAAGTGGGTCAAAGTCTGACCTGCGGGTCAATGGGAATGCTCAACTAACAAAGGTCAGCTCTAAGGAATTTCAATCCAAGGACATTTGGTGATAAGTGAAAGGTTCACAGCTTCACCCATTAAATAAAATCTTTACAATGGCTTTTATCTGCCTTTGTGCCACTGTTACATTTAATGACCAGAGAAAGTTAATTTTTTGCCAAAGATTAAACATTCATTGCTGGGAATATTGCAAATTATACATTGTGTATTATTCATACTATTTCCAAAGTTATACATAGAAATAAGGAAGTAACCAAAGCGATAATACAAGTCTACCAATATGACTGAAAGACACTGTGACCAATAGACAGCCATTACAGTCATTTACCATGATTTATGAGCCAAGGGGGTCAATTCCCAACTGACTGTTAGCTGTTTACAGTGTTAGACAGAGCAGAGACGGCTCAGCTGATTTGGTTTAGTTGTTAGCAACATGTGCTAAGCCCAATGACTGGGGCTGCTCCTGTGTCAGTGGAAAAGTACAGCAGGGGAAGTGGTGGTGGCCGGGTGGTGGTGTATCCTAGGTTCACTGTCAAATAGGCACCACTCTGACATGAGGCAACAGGGAGCACATGCAACTGATAGTAATGAGGTCCTAGACAAAAAAGGCAAACTGGGGATACAGTTTGTAGGGTCTCCTGAGGGGAATACTAAGCAGTTTGCTGTTGCTCTTGGCAACTCTTGGGGGCGGGAGCATCAGGATGGAGGGGTAAGTTTTGCATGTGTTTTTCTATCTTTGATTTATACTGAGAGTCAGCCTATATTTCCATTGTCTTTGACTGAATTCATATGGAAAATTTCTTATTGAGACCATCTTTTACTCAAACATGTTTACAACATATTTTCCATTTTCTGGTCCAGTGAACTATTTTTCTTGTTAGTATGTGAAGAACTTTCTCTCTCACGTTTTATGACAATGTGCAGGAGAGGAAGCAGCCCTGGTCGAGCTAGCCAGGACAAGAGTCTGGTGAAGAAAACACAGGAACTGCTTGACCGTGGGCAGTGGGCGAACAAGATTGAATTCCTTTTGGCTGTGGCAGGAACACTAGTAGGACTTGGAAATCTGTGGAGGTTCCCCTATTTGTGCTACAAGAATGGGGGAGGTAAGGGATACTATAAGGGCTTCGTGTTAAATGTAAAGTTGTTTAAAGAGAACAGTGCATGTTTTTCAAAAGTGCAATGCATTTGTTGTTTCAAGGCCAATTATTGTTAGCTAAGACTATTTTGGCTAATCCAGATTTATTCAGGAAAGGCCATTAACTAGCCATGGACAAAATTATACATTTTGGAGAATATAACCAAATTACTGCTGATATCAGGGAGTGCTTCAAAGGAGTAAACATCAACAATATATTCCAATGTGTGAAATATAAGAATGAATCATTTATATTAGTTGGTCTATTTTTATTTGTGTAATAGAGCTATATAGTAGCTTTTTAGATTTTGTTATATGACCAGCATACCTTTATTCCATCTTTCTCATCAGTTGCTTATGCATTGTTTTTGTTATGCATTTAAGAAGATTTCTTTTTTAACCAATTAATTTTTAATGTCATTTATACGTGCAATGTAATAAGTCAGGTCTGTGTGTCGTCTGCACTGTACAATGTTTTGACTCAAGGTGTCAGGTTGTTGGACCAGTTCCTCTGATCTGTTACACCCAGATATATTATTAAAGTCCATGTGGGTTTCTGGACACTGTTATTTACACCACCAACAAAAACTATAATTTTATACTTTTTTAGATTTGTGCACACTAAATCGGCCATGATTTACTTCAGGCTAAAGTGTATACAATATTTCCCATTCTGATTTAGCACAAAGTTAGCCTTGGTCTGGTGCTGTTGGTCCATGGAAATCAATTATTCTATGATGTGATACTTAGTTTGAAAAATTTAGAAACCACCAAATCAATATGATTCATTATATTTGTCAGTAAATTTATCCTTTTTATACTTCATGTGTGTCCTAGGTGCATTCTTGGTGCCTTATGTTCTATTCCTGCTGTCATGTGGGATCCCACAGTTTCTCATGGAGACCGCTATGGGTCAGTACACATCACAGGGGTGCATCACCTGCTGGAGACACTTCTGCCCCCTGTTTGAAGGTAGGCCATTTAAAGATACACTATGTAATTTTTCTGGTGGGGAATTTGTCATCTGCTTGTCTCAAGATGTTTGGTGTTCAGGTTGACATCAGTGCACATTAAGAAAACACATAATCATACATTTACTCAGAGTTTGAATGTAATAAGTGCATTAAAATATAAAAACAGAAGAAAAAAGTGCATGATGTGTTTATAAGGATAGCTGCTGAAGGAACAAAGCTGTTCCTATAATGCTTTGTACTGCAGCTTTGCTCTCAGTGTCACTGTGTTATCCCCATTTACATAGAGATATTTAATTCCACATTGTGAACCAAGACAAAGCATTAACATCTCTGTGGGGGTAAGCAGGTAGCAGACCCTCCACCAGAAAAGTTACAGAGTGCACCTTTAAGTTCTACACACATATTTACTTACTTACTGTGCCTCTGTTGGCACATAAGGCAAAGAGTCTCCTTCTCCAGTGGATCCTGTCCTTGACACTGGTCTGGTACAGCTGTTCCATTGTCATCCCTCAGGAAAAAACCTCATTAGCCAAATAAATATTTATGTTTTGGTCCGTCTTCTTTTGCGCTGATAGTTTTGCACTGTTTTTTTCTGTCCAGTATTAAATATTTTGTATTTATATTCAGTCAGTGTCTATTTCTATTTAACGCCTTATGGTTTGCATGCATTTATTTTATCATAGTTTATGTTATAACTTATTATTCACGGTTTCATGTTGCTCTGTAATAGTTTGTAAATTTTGTTCACTGACAATGGCATGAAACTTACTTTGATTTTCTTTGTGACATATTGGATCATGTGAACCCTATAATAAGATCAAGTTTAGCCACTTTTTAATAGACAAGACAAGCCTTTTTTATCTATTGAGAAAATAGTTCATGGCAATTAAATTAACATCGGACGCATCACCGTTGCATGTGAAGGTCTCACACTGATTCAAAGAGATCTTGCTCTCTTAATCCACACCTGTCAAAACAACACAAACCAATGGGCCACAAGTGAACTGCCCAAAGGCTCAGAACCCATGACCAACTCAATGGGCCTTTTCAAATGAAAACAAGTCTCACTGTGAAAGGATCTCTGTAAATAATACCACTAGTGTTGTTAGCTGGATCTTGCTTTTCTAGTTTCACCACACAACAATGTCCAGCCAAGAAAAAATTTGAGTAGTGAATATGAATATGGGCAATGCAGTGACAAAGAGATTAACTCCAAGATCAGGCAGATTTACCAATCTCTGCTGTTAGTTCTTTCTTCGCTCTTGTTTGTTCCACTGTCCAAAGAGATGTCCATGTAAGATGGATTGGTGACTCTAAATTGCCCCCTGGGAATGAATGGAAAGTAATGATTATTTTTCTAGATATGCCCTTCTCATGGGTTTTTGCTTCCAGTTAAATGCAACATTTTGACTTCCAATTCAAAAGATATAATACAATGTCCTTAATTTTTCATAATCCTGAAACCAAAAGATAGTGTACGCCCTGAAACTGACAATTAAAAATGTTTCCCAAACAATTCAGCCATATAGTTCTAGCCACTTCCAGCCTATATAACAAATGCACTGTCTTAATATTATTTTTTGACCTAACAATCATTACACTGTTTTGCAGGAATTGGTTATGCAACTCAAGTGGTGATAGCCTATGCTGCGGTCTCATACATTGTGATCCAGGCATGGGCCTTCTTCTACCTCTTCCACTCCTTCAGCGCAGAGGTGCCCTGGGCCAGCTGCAGAAATGAATGGAACACAGGTAAGCAGCAAAATTTACATATTAGGCTCCAACAGGAGATCATGTTAATTCTGAGAAACAGACCTACAGGAAGTCTAAAAAAACCCCACATTGTGAATAATTTAAATACAGTGAAATTAAATTTAAATTTAAAACCCAAATGATGTCCTGATTTTAAAATGTACAATTTACAACTGAACTAGATTAGAAAACTATGACCTAATTTTACAAAATCAGTGCAGAATTTATATTGTATCATTTCATGCCAACACTGATAAAACCTTCTTTCAAGATTCACCTTGGCCAATCATAAAATAGTACTAAATGTACTACAACATTTTATTATCATTCATTGATACTATCACTTTCAACAGAAAACTGTGTAGAATTTGACAAGACTAATTCCTCTTCCAACTGGACAGCTTCCCCAAATGCAACAACACCAGCGACTGAGTTTTGGGAGTGAGTAATCTGTGAAACCTATATGACCACACATGACACTTCACCTTTGACCTTTGTATTTATAGACAGAAAGACTCACAAAAGCTTGGCTCAGTTTCAGTATTAGCATTACTACATTAATACTACATTATCTTTCTTTCTGTCTTATTGATATGTCTAACAATCAAACAGGTACAGTTGTGAACCTAGATAATTATAAGCTTAGTAGTCTGATATTAAGTTACTACGATTTACAGTGTACGATTTCATCCAGCCATTTCTCAAGTGCTAACATCTGTTAAAATGTCATCACCACCCTCTCTTGCATTGGCCCTTATAATATGGCATTCTTATTAACACCTAAGAAGAGAAAGAGAATTTATTTTGCACTATTTTAATTAAGTTTAAAATTATAATAGTAATATACAATGTTTTATGGTAATGCCTAAGTGGTAAACACTTGTAGTATAAGGCATATTTCCCAGTATTGTGCGAACATGTGCAAATGGTACGCACTAATGTATGTAGAATTTTCAAAAAGGTCTATAATGTTTTTAGAAGATTTGCAAGTTCACAAAATATCAACAAATCCAACTAGTTCCTGCTGCATACTGTTTCAGACGGCGAGTGCTGGGGATTTCTGACAGCATTGAGCACATTGGGAGCCTGCGATGGGAGCTCGCCCTGTGTCTTTTACTGGCCTGGATCATTTGTTACTTCTGTGTTTGGAAAGGAGTCAGATCCACAGGAAAGGTAAAACAACTGTGTTCTAAAAATCATAAACATTTTTTTTTTACTAATTGATCTGTTAATGTGACACTTCTTGATTGGTCTATTCATCCATATTCAATATTCAATTAGAATTAGCATTTTTGACCATCAAACTTACAAGGGACTGTGCAAATACAGACATGTCATAAGAGCTGATCATTTAAGGGGAAAATGTTATAACCAACATCAAATATTAATTAGTCAACTATGTAAGAGCCATATAACAACTACTGAAACATAGGGATAAATATAGTTCAGAGTTCGGAGTAGAGTCTTTCACTGGTGTCAGTACAAAATAATCTCAACAGCAATGCCAAAAAATATTCTTGACACATTTTTGATGATTAATTTTATCTCATGGGGGCTATTTCTGTCTCTAAGCGACGGCGTTGCGTTGAATACTGCAACCTACCCTCCACCAAAGTCTTATATTTCTTGTTATCTAAGATAATGCATTTTACTTGGTATTTATTATTATTCATGTACTGTGAATGCCCAGATTCACCTATTAGTACACAATAGCTTTTGCAGCCTTTTAGTTTTTAATCATAATAGACTGTATTTTATTTTACTATTTTTTTTTTGTTTAAATGTAGATTTTTTTAAATATTAGATCTATTTTCATTTGAATCTAGATTTTTTTATATACTTCTTGGCATTTTCTGTTGAAATACTGCTATTGTGAAACAAATAATGGTTCTCTTGTTTTATCAAGAATAAAGGCATTAGTAGACGATTTTATGTGATTTTATGAAAATATATTTTAAGTTTTATTCTAAATAATATAAAATTATAGAATAAAATGATAATCTGCTATTTTCAACATCAGGGTCTACTGTTAGTTGTAGCCAAAACATAAGTAAAAAAATAAACAAATAAATAACCCCCAATTCATAAAATGCACTCTACTGTGATGACAGGTGGTTTACTTCACTGCCACTTTCCCATACGTCATGCTGGTGGTCCTCTTGGTCCGTGGGCTCACTTTACCTGGAGCTATGAATGGTTTAGCTTTCTACTTGTATCCTGATCCCTCACGATTGGCTGACCCTCAAGTAAGTAAAAAAAAACTGAGATGAAAATTTATACATTATTATTTGAGTAAAATATTTCTTAATTTAGCTCACATTTAGTTCAAGTCTGACAGGGGTAAAAGGGTGGGTGAGATTATATTTTTTAAGTGATTTTTTCACATATCAAATCGTAACAAAATAAAACTTTATAAATATTTAACAAACTAAAAGAAAAATGGCTCTGTCAGCAATCATACTTTTATTATTTTAGGTGTGGATGGATGCAGGTGCGCAAGTTCTGTTTTCTTTTGGGATTTGTCAAGGAACACTGACAGCCCTAGGCAGCTACAACCAATATAACAATAATGTCTACAAGTAAGTTGGTAATTAAAGTTAATTATTAATTAATTTGAAAAAATAAATACAAGTCTGACATTTGTTTGTTTTTTTTCTGTCAGGGACACATTTGTTCTATGTTTGGTAAATGGAGGGTCAAGTTTCGTAGCAGGATTTGCTATCTTTTCTGTTTTGGGTTTTATGTCTTATGAGCAAGGCCTTCCCATATCTCAAGTGGCTGCATCAGGTAAAAATATCACTATTTTATGTATATAGTTTGAGCTGCAAACCAAACTCATAACCATCAAACATAAACAAAGTTTGTTTTGTATTCATTGCTCTTGTTCGGCAATATGAATTCACACTGATATCTGCATAAAAGCAATGTACCTTTTTTCCTACTTGTGACTTGCAACCTGTCAATGATTTCTATTACATGCATCTAGGCCTATTCTCTCTAGTAAAGTTAAAGGTGTACTTTGTAACTTTTCTGTGGTGCGTACGCCTCCAGCTTGTTCCTATGGAGATTTTATTGCTTTGCCTGGAATGTGACCCAAATCTGACCACTTGGCCTGGTGGTGCCACCTGTTGTCTCCATGGTGACAAGCAGGTGGTGCAGTACCCTCCACCAAGTTACGCAGTGCTTCTTTTACTAAAACACATTTAATAGTGTGTGCAATATAGACAAAAATGTATATGGAATTTATTGGGGGCATCTGGATAACAATAATCAGATCATTTTTTTTGCAACCTGAAATCTGCTAAACTGTGCCTGTCACTGTTTTGGCTTTCGGGTTCTGAGTATTGCACAAAAGGGACAAAGAATCCTTTAACTTTACAATGCCTTTTTTATACATTGGAAGTGTATCTCATTTTTATCAGCTCTTGTTCAGCTTTGTGACTCTATTCTAATTTTGATACAAGTACATTATTATCTCATTTAAAAACATATCACTCATCCAGTTACCTCCATAAACCTGAACAAACCTTTGCAGGCCCTGGTTTGGCGTTCATTGCTTACCCACGGGCTGTGGCCATGATGCCCCTGCCTCAGCTATGGGCCATATGCTTCTTCATCATGGTGATCCTCCTTGGAGCGGACACACAGGTAAGACAGCAGCATTAACTGTGTGTAGGTGTTGCTGTTTTTGTGGTTGTGCTCACCAGACCCTGTCAGTTTGTGAGTCTAGAGTGTCTGATGACTTCAGTGACAGACATGTTCCCCACTGTTTTTCGAAGAGCGTACAGACGAGAGCTACTGCTGCTGTGCCTCTGCACTGTCTGCTTCTTCCTGGGACTTCTCCTGGTCACAGAGGCAAGTACATTCAAGTAAACATATGAACATTTTTATTAACAATATTGCATGATTTGAATACACAAAAGTTCTCAAAACGTGGCTCAAAAACAGGAAGTAGAATAGCATACAAGTGTTATTTCTAATAAAGCTGGGCAATATGGCAAAAGGATTTTTCCTTCTATTTTGATCACAATTTTAGAAACTATTTATTTTTTCTCATTAAAAACATAACATTAAGATTAAATTACTTTTAATCTTAATTTTACGAACATAAAGAAGACTTTTTGTCTGTGCCAAAACAGAAGAAACAGTCAAATGTATTCCTTTGTATTCCCTAAACTCTATTTGTTTTAACTGACATGGGATTAGATGTTGGCCTCTCAGTTTAAATAACATAAATCAGATAATTTTCAAATTAAAATAACTGGGTTTTGATTAAAATGTGATTTATTGCCCAGTCCTACTTCATATAGTGGGTAAACATTTCCATTAATTGTCACTCCTTCTGCCTATTTCCAGGGAGGGTTGTATTTTCTTCAACTGTTTGACCATTATGTCTGTAGTGGGAACAACTTACTTCTTTTATCAGTTTGCCAGACGATTGCAATTGGATGGATTTACGGTAAGCATCATGGATTGCCATGTCACATGCAACCACTACATAGTTCAGGAACATACAACAGATTTTTGGGGGATTTATTTATTTGCTTATTTGCTATGGATACAACAGTGATTATCTTTATGTTTCACTGTGTATTTATTTTATCCATGACCTCAAATAGCTTTTAGTGTTGCCTTGTCTCTATACAATAGAAGATACTTGTTCAAATGTTAGTTTCAGTGTTAGTTTTAATATCATTTAGTATCTGGGTAGAAATACATATATACATACAAGAAATATGGAAATTAATATATACACTCTATGTGCACATTAAATACAGTGATATATCAGTGAACCTAAAAAAACATAATATTTGTATTTTTATTTATACGTTAACAGACGCCAATATTCCTCAACCAATTCCTCCCAACAGACCAGATAAAGATAACTATAGCCTCCTTGCTCATGGAGACATGCATTTGGACCCTCCACTAAAGTTACATAGTGTACCTTTAAATTATTTGTTTTTTGAGAAGAGATACTGTGCTCATATGGAAAGAATTATGTCAGTCAGTTGTTTTCCCCTTATAGAACTGAATAACATTACAGTTTAGGCCAGACAATATTTTCTAACAAATTGGCTACTTTGTATCAGAACAATTCTTTATAATGCTACCAATTCAGAACATGTGATAGACAAAAAAAAAATCATAATTTAGATTATTCAAACCTCTCTGTCAAAGCCTGATCTCATCAGATCTCAGAAACAAAGCAAAGCTAGACCGGGTTAGTATTTGGATGCTGGCAAAATCAGGTGTCACAGTGGGGTGCCAGTGGCAAGGCACTTCACCTTAAGCAAGGCACTTCACCCACATTGCCTAGTATGAAATTAGTGTGTGTGTGAGGTGGTGGAGGGACTAATGGCGCAGATTGGGAGCCTCACTTCTGTCAGTCTGTCTCAGGGCACCTATGGCTACAATAGCATCTTACCGCCACTGATGGATGGAGTGAATGAATAATGCACCAAATTGTAAAGTGACTTTGAGCATCTGGAAAAAGCTATATATAAGACTAATTAATGCATTATTATAGTTTACTCTCCAAAATGAAATCCACATCTCTTTTTAAATACTATTTGCATGCCAATTGTAGGAAAACAGACAGGGAAGAAATGTTCCCGTTCATGTCATTATCCATAATTGGTCAGACATAAAAGTGTTTAACTTTTGACTAAAGTACATTGGTTTGTTCCATAACATGCTTAGATGTCTTTTTCAAAGGGAATATTGAGACAGCATGTCAAAGACAAGTCCCTGCAATATCCATGTTTATGTAAAATTCTGGCCTGAGGAATGTAGCTGGAAAAAGTGTGACTCATCTAAGCATGTTTTTTTCCCTAATCTTTTATTATCCAATTTTGGGTCTGCACAGGAAAACTACAGTCATGTTTATAGCACCAGTAAAACCCCCGAGACATAGTTGAGGGAAACAATCTCATGTGAAGACTTTCTGTTACAATCACATTCTGCCTGGCAAAAAACAAAAGTTTATATAAATTATAAATCAAACAAAGATTGATCTGCCAGTTCTATGATCATTTTATGGTGCCCCCTTTAACAGAACAATGTCTAGCAATATCAATGTTTGACAAAGTTTACTTTGTTTTGTCTGAATACAACAACAAAAAAATCTTTAAAAAATTAACAGACCTGAGAAACTAATGGAAAAGTAGAGCTTTTTTTCTTAATTTTTAATTTCAAGGAATCTCAGACTAAAATTTGGCATCAACATAGACATGCTGTGTGCACAGTCACTTAAATCTCATACTTGGCTTGAGATCTAGAATAATTAATTCAAAACATGTCTGCTTGTCTAAATGCTTTTTGTAATATACTTTTGTAAGCATGAGTGTTGCACATATCTCAGATGAAAACATAACATGAATTGACATGTTGGCTTCCATAAAATGACTTTAATAGCTTAATTTTAATAGCCCACTCTAAACGTTTTATTTTCATCTAAAAGTGGGGCTTTAAGGGAAAAAGCTCTTCACTTTGAGAGTAGTCAGTGTCAGTCAAGATTAACATAGAAGTGCAGCTGGGAACAGTGGCCCAAGTGGAAGGATATAGGAGCCCTCTGGCCATGTGACTTTTTGGTTGCTCATAGCTTAATCATGTGAATTGGATGCAAACAACTTTGAAGGTGACAGGTGGAAATGCTTTAAACCCCTTGGCAGATTTTTTACATGTTCTGAGTAGCAGCTGTGGGGTCTTAACAAACAGGCATCTAAGAGGATTGGGAACAATGTTTGTGTATCCTACAGTGTGTAACAGTTACATTTTTTTTTTGCCTTGTTTTTCTAGGGGGTGATCGCTTGTATGATAACATTGAAGACATGATTGGTTTTCGTCCTGGACCACTAATGAAGATCTGCTGGCGTTATGTCACTCCAATTGTTTGTTTTGTAAGTGGTACCTATAGTTGTCAGTTGGTTTACCTGAATATATCACATTAGAATGTTTCCCACAGTAAGGCAGCTAGTGATTGCATTTACATGTGACAAAATAGCAAATTCAATGTTTTTAACAGTTTAAAATGTGTTTTTATTTGTAGGGAACATTTCTTTTCTCCATTGTGCGATACCAGCCACTAAAGTTCAACAAAACGTATGTGTACCCAACCTGGGCCTACGTTCTGGGCTGGTCTCTGGGCCTCTTCTGTGTCCTCTTGGTGCCTCTGTGGATTATCTACAAGCTAACTCAGATGAAGGGGACGGTTTCGCAGGTACATCTTTTTTGAGCAAAACATGCACAATAGGTAAAATCCTTCAACTACGGTAGTCCTGACCAAACATAGCACTGTTCCTGACAGGTTGCTTTAAAATATGTGTCAAATGCAGAGGACAAATTTCCCTGCAGGGACAGTAAGTGTAGCTCAGTGGCATAAACAAATTCTAGCATAACCAGATTCCAACATGACAGGCTGTAAATTAGTATTTAAGAGGTGAAAAAGACTGACACTAATAAGACCTAAAAATGCAACATGTCTCCATGACAGGTCCTCTACTGATCATGACAGTAGCTCTCAAAATTAGTAATTAGTTAGTTTTTATTTAATGAGACAGGGACAGTGCACAATATACATTAATCTTAACAGGAGAGATGCATTGTACTAGGTTGTAGCACCCATGCTAATTTCCACCTGTAATCCCTGAGCAGGTTAACTGATTGTATATTTAATTGACCCTAGCTATCAGCTGTTCTTCCTGGAGACCTATATTTTCAATTTAATCTATGTTTCTCATACAATTAATTTAGGTTTGCCATACACTTAAGCATGTACGTGACAAATAAACTCATGCTTGTTTTGGTCCACACCCAAAAATAAGATCACAAAAAATAATAATTAACATTTTTCCTTGCATTACTCCAATAAAAACAAATAAGAAAATGTAATTGCTATTAAATACAGTTAACTTTAGAAAGTGAAAATCTTGTGGTTAATCCATTAATAACCATTTGTATACTGCCAATTTTTATTTTGATCATATGCTTGCTGTCACAATACTAAAATTTTAAAGAGAAAGGCTTGATATTTAATACTGATCTTGATACCACAAAACACTTTAAGATAAAACATTATTCAAAAAATAATTGTGTAATATAATATAAATAATATAAACAAAGTTTTCAGTGGATAATCTCAAACAGAGGTGGGTAGTACAAATGGGTGGGTAAATCAAATTGTGCATTTCTGAGTAGTTTTCAAAGACTACACACATACTCCGCTAATATACTACAGTGTAACAGTTTAGGTTACGTTTCCCTCTGTGAAATTACGAGAGACAGAAGCTTTATGTTGACAATAGCATTATTTTTTACATCTGTGTTTCCTGCTCCTCTCTTTTAGATTTAATTTCCTTTTATCATTATTTATATATTTCCAAAAAATATAAATCATCCATTATGTCCGGACAGTTACTCTTACAATTACTGTTATTTGAGTAGTTTGCCCTCATAGTTTTTACTCTAACTTGAGTGAACTTATTCTGAATCAACTGTTCTCTCACTCGAGTCAATTTTTTGGTTACTCTACCCTCCTGTGATCACAGATATAAGAAGACATGAAGTTTTGCCTTCTATTTTCTATTGGTTTATTTATTTAAAACTATTCTCCCAGAATCTGAGGCAGCTTTGTCGACCTGAAGTGAAGACCCGGGGCAAGAATGGTCCTGAGCAGTGTCCTCTGAACCCAGACTCGAAAGCGCCCCCTGTGGATGTCAAGGGCAATGGCACAGTGGAGATGGAGCACCAAGTCTGATACTCTGCATCACGAGAACTATTTTTCTATTTTATAGTTTTCATTTGTTTGTGGTCATTTTGGAACTTTTGAATGTGACATTTATACTGTACTTTTTATTCATGTAAAGTAAAATATAGTTTTTTGGGGGACATGCCAACTTTTATGAAGTGACCACACAAACTATTTTAGAGCTATTTGGAACTTTTGAATAATGGCTTGAATAGGTGGATAATAATATAGCATTTGTATTTTGAAGGGTGTTGCAAACTGTAGATGTGAAGTTTCTTTTAGTAATATGAAGGTGATATCATGATTATATGAAGATATGTTTCTAGATGTTGTTAATGCTTATATATATATATATATATATATGTATTTATTTAATCAACATTTCTAGTGGACAACCATATTTTTCCAAAGTCTTCCTCTGTACAATGCCTTTATAAATGGTTTCTTGGCTCATGCTGCCAAATTCTAAAGAATAACCGATGATAGTTGCACTTTAAATATGTTGAAGTTCAGCATTCATGTTAACAAAACCACTAATAATGGTCTTCTTGCATCATTCCCATATCATTATGTAGCTTTGTAAACAGATGAGACAAAGCAATCAACCTTAACTCAATCATAACATTTTATGCAACTTGTTGATTTGGCACTTATTTAAACTTTAATGTAATTATTTCAATAAAATACTTTTGCTCTTGCAACACTGGTAAGTACTGATTAATGTAAATTCTACTTCAAATTGTATCTACTCTGTTCTATGTAGCTTTTATGGTGGGGTCCAGTACCAGCTTGTCTCTGTGGAGATGTCACATTTTGCCTGAAATGTTCATGAATCAAGAATACACACTTCAATAATTTATGGAGAGGGGAGTTCGGTGACTGGTGAATCGCCCAGAGTTTAGATAGACATGATTGACAGGTGGATCAGCTAATCAGGGACTGGTCCCTCTAGCAACACAAACATGGCTGCTTACATGGAAAATGGAAAGAAAAAAATACCACAAGGGACTGAAAAAATTGTGGATTTCTGCAGAAACAATGAGCAAAGCTCTAAACTTGAAACTCAAAATTTTATTTTGTTTGTGAATGGTTTTATTTGGTTTTGGCTTGAGATGCGGCTGAGGGTGTGGTGACCAGACTGATATCATATCCCACTGTATAAAAATATTGTTGTGGAAATGATTATTATTTTTATTGCAATAATCCATTTCTGAAGCCTTGTGAGTTATGAAATAGAAGCAGGTTTATTCTTTGTTGCAACAGACAGGGCCTGGGCAGCCCTGACCAGAGACCGTTAGTCTCCCCCTGGGTCCCAAGCAAGTCTTTCTGAGATGTGCCCTCTCTTCCTCCAGTGCCCCCAGAGCCTCTGAGTATGACAAAATGAATGACAAAATGACAGAATGACAAAACATCATTGCAAAGTGAATGGGTGTACCACATGGTGAGGTGTGACTAGGCAGCCCCTGATGACAATCATGAACTGGCTTGTCCTCAAGATTAACACGTGGACTTAAAACAATACAAGGTGTGGTACGTTTTAAGAAAGAGAAATCTGAAAGACAGCTGTTTGGTCTGAAAGTATCTATCTGTAAATGCTAATTGACATACCTGAAGAGATTAACAAACAAGATGAACAAAAGGGTGTTACATGAAAGGTTTTCTAGAAAGTCTACAAACCAAAATTATTCTTAAGATAAAATAAAACACAATATTTTATTTTCCATTTCATTATCATTCTGCTTGATCTGGTAGTATCATCTGCATGTCCCCAGGGAAATGTTAATACCATACAGTGGAACAATCCAGACTAAGCAAAAAAAAAAAAAAACAGGTGGTGGAGTCTAAATGACAATTAATGCCATTATAATGGATGTAGTTAGAAAATAGCAAATTGGGTTTTTCAGTACCATAATTTCCCCCTCAAACTATTCTATCTTTGTTCTTAACCCTGTAGTTTTGACCACTACAAGCATGTCCTGAAATGTGATTCTTATATTTTCTTGTCAAAACAAAAGCAACTGCAATACTTCAGTGTCACAATTAGATATGTTTCCCATTTTCAAACACTACTACATTTGCCACCTACTACTATCTCAACAGCTACTACTGCTACTGATAATATATATTTACAAAGGAACAGTAAAACTTATTCAGTTGATCACTGCATTTTCTTGAGCATAAACAATACACTCAATTACCAATAGGTGGCAATGACTTCCCACTCTAGAGCCACAAAACTACTAAAACATTATCACCCTTTAAGTAAGTAAACAAAGTTAACTGACAAGGTTCAGAGTTGCTTTTGCCTTGACTGACCTTTCCTGCTTGAATAGAGGTGGACAAACTGCGCCATGGGTTAACATAACAATAAGGTCCATTTCCCAGTGGAGCCAGACAGCAACAGGAGTGTGGAAAAACACCAGTATCACACCATTCACCCTACACACTGGTGCTACTGTGCAGGCTACTATTTGTAGCACCGGGAGCACTCAAGACAGGTACTTTCTGATGATACAGTAGGCTTACATTATAGTTGTTCTCACATTTAAATATGGCAAAATAAAAATAAAAATCAAGGTAAGTTTTTGAAATGGCAGTAGAAATAATTGAAGACCTTAAGAGAGAATAGTAGCAGCAGTAGTTGTGTAGTGGTCGTAAAGTGCAGTTAAAATATTTCCAGTGCTTTGATACTCGTAATGTACCCATAATTGTTCTGCAGATATTTAACACATAAGGTTATATGTAGTACAGAGGAAAATTATTGCACATTTTCTGTCTACAAAAGTGTCTTGTTTGTTGCCAAATACTTCTTGATTGTGGCAGTAGTGTGATCTCAGTAATTAAATAGCCACCTCATCAGATTAGGTGTTTCTTTTCTTTGAGTCTTTGGGTGTCTTTTTAAATAAAGTCTCAGTGGCCAGATTCGTAACAGCAGGTTGTGCAATCTGTTATGCAGCCGTTGTGAAACAAAATTAAATTTGACTTTTGCTTTAGGTGCTTTATGGCGACCTACCGTTCAACCTGTCACTTTGACACCTTCTTGGTGTTCATAAAGACTAATTATAGAGCATAATGAAAAACGTACATTCCTGTCTTGGTCGCTGTTAAAAGATTTGTATATATTTCAAAGACACCACTCCTATTACTCATTCATCCTTTGAATTCACTACTCTTATTAGCAATTATTACTCACAAAGAAATTAAAGTTGTTTGCCTTATTATTTCCTGAGTAAAAGTCCAGTAAAAACTGCTTTTACCAAACCTTCTATTACAACTAATAAGGTTGCAGTGAAAGCAGACAGATATTTAGTAACTGTATGTAGTAGTATACTTCAAATGCTATGTAATAGGTCATTAGTCCTGAAACTAACAACACACCAAGACCACTGCCAGTATATGTATGAGTGCAACTATTAGTAACACTACAAAAACCTACTACACACATCGCACCAGTTATCACATTGCTACAAATATACTAAAGTTTTGATTCTAAAATGCATTGAAGGCAGTTAAGTTAAGTTAAGGCAGTTAAGTTAAGTTGACTTCAAGATATCTGGTTACTTCACACCTTTACACTTTGTGGTGTCAAATCACTTCTGATTAAAGTTTAATATCTTCTACAATTTCAAAAACAGCTGAAATAGTGAAATAAAACAGACTTACTTACTTACGTACACTGTGTTCTGTGACACATTTCGTTACACCAGTATTTTAGTGACTGACATGTTCAAAGGTGTGAAGACAGTTTTTCCTCTGGTCATAGTCATTAAAGCACTAAAAGAAACGTTTAAATTAAAATTTGTTTTACTGGATCATTCTCCCCCCTTTGCTCATGAGGGACCATAACTCCATCTTCTCTAGGTCCCCCTTGTGGACAAAATACCTCGCCTGACAAGTTTGGTAAGCCCTATATAAAACACGCCAGTGGATGCCCCTCCTTACTCTTTAGTTGTAAAACTCCACAAGCATCAATGCAAGTTTGGCACTGCTGCATAGAACTCACATCAATACCATGGCAAGTAACCTACTACCTACAAAGCAGTCCCCAGAGGAGCGAGGCAAGTGGGCCAACAAGACTGAGTTTATCCTGTCTGTGGCTGGAGCTGTGATCGGACTGGGAAATGTGTGGAGGTTCCCCTATCTCTGCTACAAGAATGGAGGAGGTGAGAGTCTATACAAGTTACAATAGGAACTCGGTGTGTGTCAAGTGTTATGGTTGAGATGAAAATTGCAGAGATGGCCTGAACAAAATGCAGGATAAAGGTTTTGCTGTCTCTATTATTTTGAACTTGTGAAGGAGATAAACGCTAACTAAGATGAACTGTTAACTTCCATAAAAAATAAGTTAAGAAAACATAAAATACAAAGGTAGTTAAGTAATTAATTGCCTTTTTTAACATTATTTAAACAGTTAATTAAATATTTAAATATTAACTATTTCTTCTTCATTTTGTTTATGTAAAAGAGATAATTAAATGTGTATAACATAATTTGTCTTATCCACATATCTCCATGAATATACGTCAAAGTGATGTAGTAAACAAAGTAAACATGTTTAACTGTGTGTAGTCCTGAGAGCTGATGTGGATGGCTCTAACAGGAATCCATCAGATATCCAAATAATCTACTTTGTCCCTTTGTCCAAAAAGCCCCTCCACATTCTTCTCTAAATCCTTAAAGTTTCTGTTGATAGAGCACTTTGTGAAAGTTAACTCAGCATGGGACAATACAGAGTTGTTAGGTAAAAATACTTACATATAATAACCCCTGACTTTGGAGTTTTGTAAGCTTCCAGTTAGATGTTACACAAAGAGGGGGGCGGGGACAAGGTTTAATAAAAGACTTTTTTTGATGCACATTTTTACCTTGCACGTGCGTAATCCAACACCAAAATTTCAAGCAGTACGTTCCCTGTCTAGTTAAATTTAATCGGATAAACCACTTATTTCAAATATATAAAACTCATTAGGTAATTGAGTCAAGTTTGTGCAGGAAGTACATATCATAACATTTTACTGGAAAGATTTGGCAATTTGATTTTAAACTGGAATAAACATTTCCTTTTGCGGCACTGGTTGTTTGGGCATTTCCCCAATATGTTTAGAAAAGTGTTCTTGTTTAGATTTATGCAGTTTTCTACATGCCACTGTCAGTCTGACATTTGTCTGATGCATGTGCAGTATCTTTTTGTTTTATGTATGTGCAGCAAAGGTCCTTGTACTCACTGAGAAATCACAATACAATCAATCCACATATTTCTTTCCTTCCACCACATGGTGAACACAAGAATAAAATGCAGTGTACTTATATTTAATGTTATATCAAATTCCATATCTGAATATACTCACTGTATTGTGGCTTTCTCACAATCAAAAAGTGATACATGTATTCAGCTGGTAAACTGATCATTCAGATCACACAAATGAAAATAATGATAGTGAAAGGCTGTCTGTCAGCATATGTCATTGATTAAACCCTGAAATTACGGGTTAATGCTGCCTTGAGATTAAAACAGCAGGGACAGGCTCTGGCCACCCAAAACTTAATGGGATGGTGGCAAAGGATTATGTATTCCGTAATTTAATAGTAAGAATTGTAATTTTGAAGGTGTGTACTTCTGTGATTTTCCTATTAGCATTAGAGCCCGACCGATATATCGGTTGGCCGATATTATCGGCTGATATGGGCACCTGGAGGCTGATAGGGGCCGATATTTCACGTGGGCATGTGATACATCGTTAAAAATCTTAGACTCTCTACATTCTGTTCATTTAATCCAATTTACAGACAGATAAATGTCCTAATATGTGGCTCCGCATCAGTATTTATCTACGGAGTCATTTGTCTGTGTGTGTCCATACTGTCCCTGAACACACCACAGAGTCACGTCATTCACGTGCGTTTGTTTACACCCGCAGTGCGCAACACTGACATTATATTCTTTTTACGGACAATCGGTTTGAGTCTGGATTAAAAGGACATTTATTAGTGCATACTTGTGATGTGAGGAGGAGCCTGTATGAGCGGTGAGTGTTGGAAATATGTCGACTTTGAAGCTAGTTTTGGTCATTTGTTATGGGTTAGCTGCTGTAGCTTTGGCACATAAACAGGCTGTTTTCTATTGGCATATTGTAAAGTGACTGTATTGGCCATATATTTGTTACTGGACCTGCATTGACATGTAAATGAGCTGTGAATAGACGTGTGAATTATGACATTTGCGCATATAATTAATTACCGCGGCGCGCACGTATTTACGGCAAAAGGCTAATAGCGCTACTTTCTTTACTAGTTATGGGTCCGTCGCGAACGAAATGACTCTTAGAACCGGCTCTTTAAAGGGAACGACGGGAGCCTGATCCTTATTGGGAGCCGTGTTTTCTCTTTCTCTCACTTTTTTTCTCTTCACGCCGCGTGCAGATTCGTGGTTTGACAGCGGCAGCGGCTAAAAACGAAACTTTGAGAAATTTGCGTGTACGTAGGATTGAAAAAAAGGAGCATATTTGGCTGTAGTTAAGCATAAAATAAATAAGTCCCGGTTTAGTCCTTTTTCAGTCCTGGTTTAGACCTGGTTCAGTCCTGATTCAGTCCTGCTTTAGACGTGCTTTAGTCCTGCTTGCAACAAAACAATCTGAAGAGCCGCTTGGGAGCCAAAAGAACCAGCAGCTTTTAGTGAGCCGAGCCAAAAGAGCCGGTTCTCTAAAAAGAACTGGAATACCCATCACGAGTGTCTAGAATGTGATGCAAAAATGCCATTAAACCAACCTACTGTCTGTAAATATGATGTAAAGAGGCAGAATAACAATAAATGTTGCCTAAATAAATACAATTTAAAATCCACCAGAGCCAAACCTAAGTTTTTTAAACAATTCAACATTTACAGTGAATTTTTACATCACTAAATATATCGGCGATTATATCGGCTATCGGCAGCTCCAACTCCCATTATATTGGTTTCATATCGGCCACAGCAAAATCCATATCGGTCGGGCTCTAATTAGCGTGCATCACTTTACTGTAACTTCTCTCTCATTTGGAGTGTGTTTTTTGATTCAATGTTCAGAAATGGCATAAATTGCTGAAAAAAAGAAAAAGAAAAAAAGAAGACCAAATGGTTTCAATTTCAGTGTGAGGATTTACAAAGCAATATCAAACTTAATAATGTCTTGCCTCACAGAGAGGATGACTTTAATCTCAGGGTGAACCGCCAACAGTTCTCCCTGGGATGTGTGTTTGTGATCCGTTGGCTTTTCTTTTCTGAGTCCCTCAGCATTCTTACCCCATGCAAGGTGAATTTAGAGATTCAATTTGTTCATAGTGATGACAATCACTGGATTTAATTTACACTTTTCTGTTTCTGTCCGTTCTTTTAAAAAATGAATTTAATTTTATAAGGATTTTATAAGGATTGTTTATGTTTTTATTCACTTATTTTGTTTGTAATGTGATTTTAATATGTCTATCTTGTTCTGTAAAGCATGTTGAATTACTTTGTGTATGAATTGTAATCTACATATAACATTTTTGGATAGGTCCAGCCCCCATCTGAATACTTAACTGTATTTACTAAGCAACAACTTTGTATATTACAGGTGCGTTCTTTATTCCATACCTTCTATTCCTGGTTACGTGTGGTATTCCTCTGTTCGTCCTAGAGACTGCACTGGGTCAGTACACAAGTCAGGGAGGCATCATGTGCTGGAGAAAGATCTGCCCCCTATTCGAAGGTAACAGAAAAAAATACTGTGTGAAAGAAGGTAAATTATACCAATTTGAGTGTCTATCATGGCTCCTGTCAATGGGTGGGTTACATTAGGCATCAAGAGACCATTTTGTCCTCAAATCTGATCTGTTAAACACAGGAAAAAACATAATTTAGGGTCATAACATATTTTCTAAAAAAAAGTATTTGAATTGAATGCATAATAGATAGAGTAAATAGTGTAACCCGAATCTAAATATCTGCTTTGGATGAACTTATAATAAGAAAATGGGAATTATACCATCATAAAATTATGATTTCAAGCAGACTCCCTCAATATTAATTACATGTCTTTTTTGTCACAGGTATGGGATATGCAAGCACAATGATCATATTCTATGGATGCATCAGCTACATAGTCATCTTGGCCTGGGCCTTTTTGTACCTTTTCTCCTCCTTTTCGAGAGAGCTGCCATGGGCCGTCTGCAACAACACGTGGAATACAAGTAAATACTTTTGAACCCAATTACATATCATCACTGTGCAGACTGTTGTCCTATTGTATACATGTTTTTGTGGATGTTTCAGATGCCTGTGTAGTGTTAAATGACTACAATAGCACAGGCAACAGAACCTCCTCATCCTCTGTCATAGAGTTTTGGCAGTAAGTCAGATTCTTACTTTTCTGTTGTTATTTACGGGTTTTGGGGATAGAGCAGACAGAGGGGAAACAGAGGAGGGAAATATATAAAGCTGACAGCCTTGACTCAGATCTGAACCTAAGTCAAATGCTATCAGGGAGTCTCTACTCCACATTGCACAATTCGTCATGGAAGGTTAATATGCACATACATTGCATACCTAGACCTAAAAGAGATCTTCCTTCATGATTTAATGACATGATTCTCAAAATGTTTATCTGATGCAAGACATGTCAGTGGTTCACATAAATCACCTGGTGACATCTTGTGGTATGGTAACTTACACTGGGGATAGCAATGCATTTTTCACATATAAAAAATGTCAGCACTTCTTCTGGTGTTACTGTACTGCTGTAATGGATATCTGGATACCATCACTAATGATATAATGTAGCCTTTAGCCTTTCAGGATAAAGGGTCTAATTTTTGAAGTAGTAATATTGGTGTCCATTTCACACAATGGCTGTTGTAGAAGGCGTGTGCTTAATATTTCATCTGGGATTGAGGACATGGGGAACATCCAGTGGGAGCTCTGCCTTTGTCTTCTGCTGGCCTGGACAATCTGCTACTTCTGCGTGTGGAAAGGAGTGCGCTCCACTGGAAAGGTATGAACAACTCAACAATTGTCTGTGCATACTCCAAGATATAATTACTGGGCAATTTATAAAAGACAAAATGTGAATCACTGCCAGTACGAAAAGGACTATGTGTGAGTGAATAGTGAACCAGCCTGTTTGCAAAAGGATGTGTTCTCTTGAAGCCTCAAGCAGGCATTCAGTCTGGGTCAAATTTGTCCTTGTTCACTTTCCGGAGCTGTATTAGTTTTAAAATTTCAGCAGTGACTGTGAGGTGAACCATTAATGTCGCTGTGGCCCACGTGAGGTGAACCATCACCTGTCACATCTGCATATAATAATATAGAATATTGAGATTACCCTGACACTAGTCTGGTTGTAAAGGTCTATCTAAATCATACGATGCAACATTACTCTGGGTGGCTGACACTTGTTGTCCAGTTTTTTTACTACTTATTACAATTGGCCTATGCATGACTTGTAAATCTTGCCAAATGTACTATACAATTGTTGTTGTTGTACATGCATGTTTTAAATTTTCTCATTTCAAAATGGAAATCGAGACTCAGATATTAACTTCTACAGGCAGGCAGGTAGTCGCTCCTGTGCCTGGGGCACTTAAGGGCATGTGTGATTCTTTTTTCATTAGTGCAAAACATGGCCACATGCCAAGACAGTCCTGCATGCTTGAGCAGGATCTGTGAGTGTGAACTCAAGTAGAGTTACTATATAAAATGTGTTTTTGTTTAGGCCACCTACTTCACAGCCACCTTTCCTTTCGTCATGTTGTTTGTGCTGTTCATCAGAGGCATGACCCTTCCTGGAGCTCTGCATGGGATCAAGTACTACCTGTATCCTAATCCCACCCGGCTCGCTGACCCACAGGTCTGAATTAATTTGATAAATAAGAATTATTATAAGAACTACCATAGGATCTATTGCTTGTGCTGAGCAGGTTTGGATGGACGCTGGGACCCAAATCTTTTATTCCTATGCCATCTCTCTGGGAATACTTACCACACTAGGGAGTTATAACAAGTACAACAACAACTGCTACAGGTGAGGACTTTGCTGACAGAAAAAAGGACTTAACCAAGTGAAGAAAGGGTTGGGGAGGTTTTAGATCCCTCTCTGTTCAAGAGGATTATATAGATGTGTGAATACTTTAATTAAAATTTTAAGTAATTTTGTACAAAGCTTTTTAAAATAATCACTTTGTACATATGCATATAAATATGTCTTAGAGAGTACTTCTTTTTTATATTTAAACTATATTGCAAAAAAAAATCACGAGGGCTTTAATTTATTTTATTCTAGTGTGTGTGTGTGTGTATATATATATATATATATATAATTTTTTATAATAAAGCTTTTCTTGTGCGCTGCATGTGTCTGTAACAAATCAGAATTTCCTCTTGTAATATAGTAATAATACTATAATAATAGTAAAGCATTCTCATCTCTGATTATAATTTCTTCCTAATTTCCAGAGATTCCTTTTACCTTTGTCTACTAAATAGTGGAACCAGCTTTGTTTCTGGATTTGCCATCTTCTCTGTCCTGGGATATATGTCACAGAAACAGGGAATTGATATTGCATCAGTGGCAGAGTCAGGTATGGATAATACATATAATAATATATATATATATATATATATATATATATATATATATATATATATATATATATATATATATATATATATATATATACATATATATATATATATATATATATACATACATACATATATATACATATATACACATATATATATATATATATATATATACATACACACACACACACATATACATACTATTGTGTAGCTTGTGATATTACGTGATTAATACTGGTGCCTGTGTGCAGGCCCTGGTCTTGTGTTTATTGTCTATCCCCAAGCGGTGACTCTCCTACCTTTGCCTCAGGTCTGGGCTGTCTGCTTCTTCACAATGATTATCTTATTAGGCATCGATGGACAGGTACAATTTAAAACTCTTAACTGTTTTTATTTGTATTGTTTGTGTGATCATATTGTCTTTTTACAGTTTGTTGGAATGGAAAGTATTGTGACATCTTTAACGGATGTATTCCCATCCCAGATCAGAAAGGGCTATCGCAGGGAGCTTCTACTGTTTCTGATTTGTGTTTTTTCTTTTCTTATTGACTTGCCACTAGTCTCGCGGGTAAGCTCTTCACTAAACTCACCACTGAATAACCAGTCACACAAATCAATGGCTGATCTAGATGTAACTATCACTACTTTCAGGGAGGAGCATACCTTTTGCAGATCTTTGATCACTATGTGTGCAGTGGGCCAACGTTACTTTTGATGGCAATCTTACAATCAATTGTTATTGGTTGGATTTATGGTAAGCTACATCTAATAAAGTCTATATTGCAGAAGGATGTGTTATAATTAAATTCAAGCCTTCCTGGCATTATCTGTACTTCTTATTACTTTTAACCTTTTTACTCTTGTTGTAGGAGCTCAACGTTTCTCAGATAATATTGCAGACATGATAGGATACAAACCCTTATCCCTGATTAAGTACTGCTGGTTGTATGCAACACCTGCCATATGCAGTGTATGTATTTATAAAACTATATATACTATATATTTTACTGTGTGTTTACTTTCAGTATGTTGTTTCAGGGGACTTTCATCTTTTTGTTGTTGAGATACAGCCCCTTGAGGTTCAATAATTCTTATGTGTATCCCGGGTGGGCTTATGGCATTGGTTGGTTTCTTGCTACCTCCTCTCTGGCTATGATCCCAATAATCATGGTTTGCAAACTTTCCAATGGAAAAGGGACTCTCTGGCAGGTCAGTAAAAGTACATCATTATACTTGTCTGCACACAGAACTCTATACACTACCATGACAGTACAACTACATTGCATCTCATTACACTGTACTCGTCAACAGCCACAGGGTTTTTTTGTAAAGTATTAATCAGGCAATAACCATAAATTTTATCTTATTTGTATTTTCCCTTCTAGCGGATCAAAAATATCTCACAGCCAGCAAATGACCTTCCAATGACGGCAAAAGAAATGATACGTCTCAATCCATGTGAGAAACATGATACTGCATTTTAATATTTGTAAAATACAGTATTTGTATTTTGTAGAAGAGAAATTAACTAAAAACTTGAATTTTATATTTGAGCAAAAGAATTCTAAGGCTGTTATAAGCATAAAGTTTACTATGGAAAAGTTTAGAAAATCGCTTAATAAGCAAAACTTACCATTTAACAGAATGTATTTTATACATTGCTTGCAATTGTCTTTTTTTTTTTTAGTTCTGTGGTGAGACATATTTATATCTTTTTTATTAATTCATTACACCAGCTAACAGTCAAATTGGTGTATGTTTTCTATTTGACCTTTTATTAGTTTTTAAGCTGTAACTTGTATCTAAATATAAAAGTTCATTTATCGTGTAAAAGAAGAACATTTTGTACCAAGAGACTGTTCCTTGCTTTGATATGTCAATAAAAATTGTAACCTATACATTTTCATCTATGGTTCACACAAAAGCAATGAAATACTAAATTCATTTATTTATAAAAAATATAAAAAGAACAGGTTTAAGAGGATACATTAGCTCTAAGTATTTGGATGTCATCCACCGGTCTGTCTTGACTGTTGGTCTCCACCATCCCCACGCGGTTCAAGACTCCGATCCCTTGACATATTCGACCAAAAATTGTGTGCTTCCCATCAAGCCACTGAGTTGGGGCCAAAGTGAGAAAAAACTGACTACCATTAGTGTGTGGTCCTGCATTAGCCATGGCCAGGATACCAGCACCTACAGAACATAACCACAAATTATTAGATTACACTTAACATTTGGTTTAGTGTTTATTATTGTAATTAAGAATAAAACATCACTTGCCAGTAAATTTGAGCTCTGGATGCAATTCATCTTCAAACTGTTTACCAAATATAGAAGCACCTCCTCGACCTAAAAGCACATCAGTTACTTGCATTCATGGTACATGAAGGTATTAACAGCAAAAAAATGAACTATATAACAAATTTTACCTGTTCCCGTTGGGTCTCCGCCTTGCACCATGAAGTCTTTGATTATTCTGTGAAATTTGGTGCCATTATAGTAGCCTCTCCTGGCCAGTTCAGCAAAGTTCTTGCAGGTGTTCGGGGCATGATCCCAATACAACTCCACTGTCAGGGTTCCCATACTGAAAAAGATTTTGTTGTTGCATGAAGCTAAAACTGCCTACCACAAACCTATTCAAAATCATGGTATAATTGTGTTGTGATTGTAAACAATATCGATTGTTGTCATGATCTGTGTATGCTAAAAACTGATGCTAGCTAGGGGTGAAACACGTTGTACTTACGTGGTCTCCAAAGCCACAGTTGCCGGCTGCCAAGAATCTGGAGGAATACCCGACATGATTTCCAATTTGATTAAGTCTTAAGTAAATTGATTTTGACAAAAATGCGCAAATTGTTTCAATATAACGAGAGTATTTTCATGTATCTGTGTATTTCAAAAACATGAACGAACTACTTCTTCCATGAGTCAGGCTACTACTTCCGTTGGACAGATGCTACACTGCCCCTAGCGGACAAACCAGACTCAAAGCACAAAAACATTGATTTCCAACCCAAGTCAAAGGCCTCATCAAATAGAAGAGTTTTAGTGAGTATCTGTAATCAGTTAGGTGATATTGTTTATTGCATTTACGCCCTACAATGGCGAGGAAAAAATTCAGTTTGTCGACTGGACAAAAGTTAGTTAGGTTGAAGACGTTTCGCAGCGCATCCAATCTGCTTCTTCAGTTCTGGTCAGAATGCTGGTGGATACTTCCTTATATCTGTAGGGTGGAGCTAACTACACTGAAACTAACACACCTACTTGTTTACAGTTTCTGTTTGTTAGTTAGGCCTATTGACCTGTACAGGGTGTGGGGTATAATTAGCATAACAATTCAGGGCCATAATGGGGCTTCCACACCTCTGGATCTGACCTGGCTAGACCTATTGTTCTCTTGTTTGTTTTGATTTAGATTTGAGGATGGAGTTGTAAACAGGAGACAGATTGTGTCTGAGGCCTGCATTTCTGTTTAGAGAAGGATTCTGATTCTTAACAAAAATGGCTTCTTTCACTCCCCTCTCAAACCAATTCTTTTCTCTGGCTAAAATCTGTACCTCGCTGTCCTCAAATGAGTGGCCCGTGGCTTTCAAGTGGAGAGGTACAGCAGACTGAGGTCCACTGTTGCTCTCTCGTCTGTGTTCTCTTGTGAAGTGTTAGTTTCAGTGTATTTAGCTCCACCCTACAGATATAAGGAAGTGTCCACCAGCATTCTGACCAGAACTGAAGAAGCAGCTTGGATGAGCTGCGGAACTTCTTCAACCTAACTAACTTTTGTCCAGTCGACAAACTGAATTTTCTCCTCGCCATGGATTCTACCTGGACGACTGAGGGATTCTTCACACACGCCCTACAATGTTCAGATGTATTCTTTTAAAAACTTTCATTTTCAGCGTTTCATTTTTTCCAGTTCATTCATTCATTATTTATTTTATATACCACATTCATTACTGTGCGCTTGTTTGTTTGTTTGTTTGTTTGAAAAGGACAGATAGAGATAGGGTGACCAGACATCCCAATTTACCCAGGACAGTCACAATTTTGAGCCCTGTGTCCCCTGTCCCCGCAGATTTTTCCCAAACCACTGATTTGTCCCAATTTTATACAAGAAATGTCCCAGGTGTCCCTATTTTTTTATTTTTATTTTTTTAATTTATTTTCTATTACCAATTTGATACCTGCCAACAGTAAAAAGAGGCATTTGTTTGGGTAAAATTCAGAAAAGCGGCTTAAAAATGACCAAAGCACAAAGAAAATGTGACTGTATTGACTCATATGTTAGTCATGAATGTGTCGAGTACTCGTTTCACAACCTCAAACCGGGGGTGTCCCAGTTTTTGATTTTGAAATCTTTAGACTTTTTGATTCTGATCATCTTAATTACACAGTAAATATAGCACAACCAGAGATAGCTACAGGCTTTCATTTGTAGTCCATGGGCAGCCCAAAGTAAAAGCAGGTTATTGTGCACATGCTTTATAAACTGGCCCATGCAACGTTTAAAATACAGCTAAAAACAAACAAACGACAACAACAACCGATCACCAGCAGAGGGAGCACCTTATCAGCCGTCCAAATACATACATTGAAAAATTGAAGTATTTACCTTTTACATGATTCCTAGATGTTTCTAGATCATTAATGACACAACGTTCAATGTCGAAATTAAATCAAACGAACAGAGCACAGCTGTTTTCATTCGGTTTTACAATAATTTTGTTTTTGCTATATCCTACAGGGGGCGTCAACGTGCATTTCAGACAATAATTTTGCATGCTAGCTGATAAAACTTTCACCCAGAAACTGGTAAGTCTATTTATAAATTCTTCATCGTTTTAGTAGCATTATCATGAAAACAACGCACACAAATGTTTTAAATAGTTTTACCCCTGCTAGTGAATTTGTCTCTGCAAATTTAACCCTGCTTTGACAGATGCAACAATTTCTACTTCCTCTGGCCTTGAGATTAATCAGATGAGGAGGCCTAATCCAATTGAGCTGCAGCAAGTCTGTTAACAGCACTCTAAGCTTGCAGCTAGGTCAGGATATTTTTGTGTTAAAGCTTTCACGGAGGAAGAGCATTGAGCCAGGTAAGATGTCATGTTAGCAATATGAATAAAAGGTTGTATTTGTATGTTAAATTATGTTGTGGGAGTGGTCAATTTAAGTTTGTGGGAATGGTCATTTTCAGTATAATAATAAATGCATTTTTTTTTTCAAGGTCAAAACCATGTCCATTCTAGGGATTCATGCCCGGGAGATCTTTGATTCTCGAGGAAATCCCACCGTTGAGGTTGATCTTTACACTGAAAGAGGTATGTCTTAAGTAGAAATGTAGATGATCTGTGCCTCATGCATTATGGCAGGGAACATTTTGTATTTCAATAATATAATCTTTTAATTAACATGCTGGGTAAATGTTGTTTCCAGGCCTGTATAGGGCTGCTGTACCAAGTGGTGCTTCAACAGGTATTTACGAAGCTTTGGAGCTCAGGGATAATGACAAGTCTCGCTATCTTGGAAAAGGTTTGTCTAACTTTCATAATAACATGATTATAGTGGAGTTCTCTTTCTCAGAGTTTTTGCAGATTTCATGGCATTTTAAATTATGAAAATGAACTTCCACCAGCACTATGAAACTTTATGTAACAAAGAAATTGTATTAATGGAGCATCACATGTCTTGCTGTTGGTATTTTGATTTGGTCACGTTAAACTACACATGCTTTTTTCAGTAACACTAATCAGTTTGCACTTGTAGGGATGAAACGTGTAACATAAAGCATGGCATTTTCTAACCCTAATATCTTTTAAACCTTTTAAAAACAGGAGTCTCCCAAGCTGTACATAACATCAATTCAATAATTGCACCCCATCTTGTGGGTCAAGTAAGAAGCTCTTGTATATTTACACATTTATATTTAGTTTAATTTTACATGTGATCCCAATGTTTAAAGTTTAATCTTTGTATTTAGAATGTTTCTGTGGTAGATCAAGAGACTATTGACCAGATGATGATTGCCTTGGATGGCACTGAGAACAAAGGTAAACAATCTCAACTAGTACATTTATTATTACTACTTTAAATACTTTAAGTTCTGTTTGTTAAGTACTCCTACATTACTCACAAGTACATTACTCCTGCTTCTATTACCACCCCTGCTAATATTGCTACTACTACTTCTACTACTTCACCTGTGACCATTTAAATCTTCCTTTTTGGAATACAGCCAAGTTGGGTGCCAATGCAATTCTAGGCGTATCATTAGCTGTCTGCAAGGCTGGTGCTGCAGAGAAAGGTGTCCCTCTCTATCGCCACATCGCTGACCTGGCAAGAAACCCACAAGTTATTTTGCCTGTGCCTGTATGTTATATTTAAAACATAACCATATCTTAATTTACAATTTTCTACCTTATACTATACATTTCATATATTATCCAGGCTTTCAATGTGATCAATGGTGGATCACATGCAGGCAACAAATTAGCTATGCAGGAATTTATGATTCTGCCAATCGGAGCGACAACATTCAAAGACGCTATGCGCATTGGAGCTGAAGTCTACCATAATCTCAAAAATGTCATCAAGAAAAAGTATGGTCAGGATGCTACCAATGTGGGGGATGAAGGTGGCTTTGCTCCGAACATTCTGGAAAACAAAGAAGGTACAGAATATGTAACTGTTTTCATTTAATACAGAGTAATGTGCAAAGTCAACATTATTAATTGTGAATATGCAACAGATTAAGTTTTAAATAAAGTTGTGTTTTTATTACTTTGGAACTAAGGTACTAGGATTGTGTTAATTGAAACACGTGGCATAGAGAGGCGTTTAGAGGAGGTTGTTTTTGGTCTCAAATAAAGAAAAATGTAAGCAGTGAATATAATTACACTTCATGGACATTCATTTTAGTTATTTTCAATAACTACTTAGGTACTAACTTCATGCTTCCAAGACGTTTTGTAATTTAGTATTTTATCCTTCATAAATATACTGTACAATGTCTTCCTTTTTAAGGATTGTGATCACAGTATAATCTTTCTTTAAAAGCATTATTCTGCTGGTAAGTTGTTTAATTGGAGCTTTATTAACTTTCTATTCACATGTTGGACTTATAGCTTTGGAGTTGCTGAAGGAAGCGATTGCCAAGGCAGGATACACAAACGAGGTGGTGATCGGCATGGATGTGGCTGCCTCTGAGTTTTACAGGAACGGAAAATACGACCTAGACTTTAAATCTCCGGATGATCCAAGCCGCTATATCACTCCTGATGAGCTCTCTGACCTCTACAAGAGCTTTGTGAAAGATTACCCAGGCACGTTTGCTATAGTTTAATTATTACTATGCATTAAGATAATTAATTATAATTAATTACACAACCTTCTATTTTTAAGTAATAATAGCCATCCTTCCTAAATTTTTGGCTATCTACTTATAAGCATAAGGAAAACTAATATCAAAATATAGGTGCCACAATGTACATGTTCTACATAAAGATAACCTTGTCATTGTTGTAACTGTCTTTTATTGCTGTTTTTAGTGGTTTCCATTGAGGATCCCTTTGATCAAGATGACTGGCCTGCATGGTCTTACTTCACTGAGAGCACTGACATACAGGTGGTGGGGGATGACCTCACTGTGACAAACCCCTCTCGCATCTGTAAGGCAGTCGAGGAGAGGGCCTGCAACTGTCTCCTGCTAAAAGTCAACCAAATCGGCACTGTCACTGAGTCTATGAGGGCGTAAGTCAATAGTACACAACGCACACTTTTAGGAAAAAAAGTTTTGTTATCAGCCTAGTGTTCTCAAAATCGTGTACCAATTGTTAGTGAGTTTTTATTTTATTTTTATTTTTTATTATTTAATAGGGACAGTGCATATTAATGAACATCTACAACATTGCAGTGTAAATATGCCAGATTATAGCAAGACTGCTAATTTCCATCTGTAGTCCCTAGGCAGGTAACACCACAAATTTAAACAAAGCAAAAACAAGTAACAAATCTATACTAAAAGTGTCCACAAGACTTTCTTATCTTATCTTTTAGACTTTCTTATCTTATATTCTTTCTTATTTTACTTGCATGTGTTGTAGTGGTGGGAGAGTTTTGGAAATATACAAAATTTTAATATTAATCAATAATCAGTAGGGGCTATGTTATAGAATAAATTGTAGTAGCTCAAGAGTTGAAGAGACATGGTGTTGGAGTTCTAATGCAGGAGAAGTTTATTTACCATCATAATGGGGCCTAGGACCCAGAGACAAGAATCCTCAGTAATTTATGATAGTGTTGTCCATTCCAGTTTAGTATAGTCCAGTCTGGCTATACTTTTGTTGGGGGGGTATTATACTTCTGATGAAGCAGGCTAGAATTTCTCTAACAGGCTAATTAAAAATGCAGTGTTATCAGTGTTAACATGATATTTTTATAGGTTTGTGATTTTACAGTCCATCCTGGCCTATTTGTGCAATATTTTGATCCTTAGTAGGCACATTGTAGCATTTTGTATTGATTGCTGTAATCTAATTTGCATATCATCATGATAATGAAAAAAAATCAACACTTTAAATTTTTAAAATCACCCACCCCTAATATGGTGATGATAAATCTGATAAATTTGCATTATTTGTTCAGTAAAACTTTCTTCTCATTGGTGTTTTCACAGATGCAGGATGGCCCAGGAGAGTGGCTGGGGGGTTATGGTTAGCCATCGCTCTGGAGAAACTGAGGACACCTTCATTGCAGATTTAGTGGTTGGATTATGCACAGGACAGGTGAAGCCATTCTCACTTATAATAAATGCGATTTGAATACAATAAATAACATATTAGCCTAGATATTTGACTTTATAAACTATTAATGTACTGGGATCATTTTAGATCAAGACTGGTGCTCCGTGTCGCTCAGAGCGTTTGGCAAAATATAACCAGATTCTCAGGTAAGTATTCATTGTCAGTGTATTCATTGTCAGTGTAAAGGCCTATAAATAAAGCATGCTCTAAAAATGTACAAATTATATTTACAGGATTGAAGAGGAGTTGGGAGATAGGGCACGCTTTGCTGGAAAGAACTTCAGAAAACCACTGATGTAACTAAACAAATAAGTAGACCAACAACTAAAATTGTGCTGAAATTTGAAACACAGAATACTAGTGTATGTCATCTTAGTAAAATTTAGCTGTACAGTAATATGACTATTTTATGCATATATGAATAAATGAAATACATAATACATTTTGATGGAGCACTTAATAGAATATATAGAATGTATCTTATCATCACTACACATTAATTAGCCATAATAAAACATGAACAAAGAGTTTATTAATAATGATTTAGGCTTAATACACAATTTCATTATGAATTTGATTATGTTTTAACTTTGTTAAGGTGAAGTTATGATGATTATTAAGAGATAAATATGTTTAAATTAAACTAGATGTAATGCATTATGTATTTAAGTTATAGCCTTTACAAAATAAATTACAAATAAAGTCTTTAGGGTTTTGGGTTTTTGAATATGATTTAGGCTATACTAATGATTAGATGTGATTCAAAATTTAATAGCCTACATTATGCACGACTATCATTTCCTATCTTTGGACAATTAGAACAACATTTTGTAACACCATTGTGAATAGAAAGCAGGTGCAGAATATTTGCCCTTTTAATTTTATTCTTTTCATATTTTAAGGTATTATGTATTTTTATTATAGCACATTTAAAATAAATACAAGCACATTAGTTTTTGAATGCGATTTCGATAATCCGTAGATACTGCTAATTCTGTTATATGTTATATTTATGTTATATTTTAGTTAGGGATTATCCTTTCCTACCTTATAAAATCTACATTAAGCACACTATAATAACATTGTCACTGCGCAGGACATTTGCCCTAATAATTTTGTGCAATTAAGTCAAAACTGCAGCATTTTCCTTTGGTTGGTCAGAAAATGCTGCTTAATGGTGTATGTGGCGTTCACTACGCGGTGGTTCATCCATGGATGCCTGTGTAGCAGCTGATGAGCAGAGCCATTGCCTGCTGATCCGCGGCACATGCTCAGTAATGTACACCAGACAACTTTGAAGGCTGGCTGTGGCTGCCGCTGAGGTCACTGCGCTGGGAAAATAGACTGACTGCCTCCACTACACCGCCTCCATTTTGAATAGCCATGTAATAGGGGATTCGCATAGTTTGTGTGCGTATCGCCCACTGCGCTGCGTAGTGTCAACAAGCCACATCCAAACATCCCTCGACATGGACGACCTGTTCAGTCCGCGGAGGTAACTTAATCAACTCATTACACGCTATTATCGCTAAATGTTGTGTATTTTGCATGTTTTATGGTTTGTCACGGTACTTTGGAGATGCGTTTATGTGGAATACTCGGCGTGTCAGTGGTCACGAAGTTGGTGTCTGGCTAACACGCTAGCCAAATAAAATCGCTGCGTTATGTTACTGTCTCGTTAGCAGCTAGCTGATCTTCCTTGGTTGGATAGTGTAATGTTATTGTCCACTTTGCCTTTTCTTTGCATAAATAATTCGAGGTAATGTCGTGTAGTAAACTGTGCGTCACTGGATTATTGCATACGCGCTGGAGAAGACTGAGTATTGGATCGCCTTTGGGCTTGACCTGTATATTTACATGGTCGTCTATATGCAGCTAGCAAGGTTAGGTCAGCGACATGTTGTGAAAGCTACCACCGATGAATTTAAGGCCTTTTGCACATTTTAGGTAACGGCTTCGTTCCGAACGCCAACCTGTTAATACGAAGCCGCACACACTGTTCTTGTAATGGTGACCGTAAAAATTAGCAGCTCAAGTGTGATTGATTGACAGTCATTTGCGGTAGCCAGCGTCGGGTTTCATTCATGTAATATAAGGAAACGTCGCAGGTCACGGCAGAGATTGGCTCTCAGTGATTGTGGAGGCGGGATGTTCTCGCTGAAGCCACTGTACTGGAGGAGGGCTGTGTGCTGATATATACAGTGTGTGCAGCGCGGTCATATATTGATTTAACGCCTGGGCACATTATCCAATAATAAACAGTAAACATGTACTAGATTTGCTCGGGGCGACAGATAAATCAGTGAATAGCATTGTTGACACTACATTTTAATATTAAATTCAAATGTTATTTCCCATTGTAGGAGCCTGAACAGCACACAAGGCGAAATAAGAGTGGGGCCCAGTCATCAGGTAAATGAACAAATAGTCATAATTACAAATATTTGTTTTTCATTTGCCCTAAGTAATATGCATGAGAGCTTTTAAATTTGCTATTGGAAATTATTATTTTTATACTGAAACATTAATTTACAGGCCAAGCTCCCAGAGTTACAACCGCGACCTCAGTCTTGTTTACAGGCACAGACTGAGAATGAGGAACTCATGTGGACACCAGGGGTCAATGACTGTGACCTCCTCATGTATCTCCGAGCAGCCAGGTGAGACCTTTATTGGAGAAGATGTCAACTATATTGTCTATTACGTTTTACGGTAGGATACATTTCACATGATTAGTTAGTCATGTCCATGTAAAAATGTATTTTCCACACATAACAGGAGCATGGCAGCATTTGCAGGAATGTGTGATGGTGGATCCACTGAGGATGGATGCTTAGCAGCCTCTCGTGATGATACCACACTCAATGCACTTAACATGGTAAGGCATTTATAATATATTTTCATTATTTCCATGTTAAAAACAACATTAAACATCACTTAACATTAAATAATATTACTTTAAAATCTATCTGATTCTATTGTAGCTCCATGCAAGCCATTATGATGCTGCAAAGGCTCTCCAACGCCTTGTTAAAAAGCCACTGCCAAAGCTTATTGAAAAGTGCTGGTCAGAGGATGATGTGGTAGGTTACTGTAAATGCATCCCCACAAAAATATATTTGTTTATGGTAATCTAATGTACCCTTTTTTACAGAAACGTTTCATTAAAGGCCTCAGGCAGTATGGGAAAAATTTCTTTCGCATTCGGAAGGACTTTCTACCCTGCAAGAAAACTGTAGATTTAGTTTTATCTTAATGCAGAAAATATATATTTGTGTTGCTTTTTTCAAGTCATTAATGAAGTATTATGTTGTTACAAACAGGGCGAGTTGATCACGTTTTACTACCACTGGAAGAAGACTCCTGAGGCTGCTGGAACCAGAGCCTATCGACAGCAGAGGCGCCAGCCATCTGCACGCAAAGCCAAGACACGCTCTGCTGCAGCTTCTTCAAACGCACCATCACAAAATTATTCAAGTTAGTCTTATTGTTCACTTGTTTCTTTTTGTGCATGAATGAGTCCAAGTCAATGCTTTGATGTTTTTTAAATAAATGTATTTCTTTGTAGATGAAGCAAGTTCAGCCAGTGAGGATGACCTTGATAGTGAGGACAGTGAGCAAGATGTGAAGAGCTGTAGCCATTGTGGTACAACTAGTATGTTCACACCTCTATCACTCAAGATTTATAACTTTCCCTTAATGCTCCATAATAACAATAAATAATCTTTTATTAGACTCAAAGGATTGGCACCAAGGGGGCAAGAACAATCCTGTGTTGTGCACACGCTGTCGCACATACGAGAACAAACATGGCTGCCTTCCACCAGCTCAAAAATCGGGCGGCTCCTTGTACATGTTCAAACCTGTGAAGGAGGAAGAGGAGGTGAACAGCAAGCATGGCATGAGGACACGGCGGAGTAGAGCACCTGTAAGCCCAAGGCTTCGGCTTTCAGACATTTTTATTGCATGTAATAAATATAATCAGGAAGTATCAGACACCAGCCAAATTAATGTGTGTGAAAATGGTTTAAATTGTATTTTTTTATTGTAAACAATTTTACAGCAGTTATCATCTTTACGAAGTGGCCACAGGAGAATCACTGGCTCCCCCAATAATGATGATCGTAACAGTCATTCTGGGTGTGCTACAAGAGCATCTGCTGCTGACAATAAAAACGACTCAGCAAAGAGGGCAAACAAGGTAAAGACTACCTCATATAACTTGCAATGTTATTTTGTGCACATTAAGCCAAAACTAAGAAATATCTATTATTTTGTTACAAAACAGAAACTGTAATAGAATGTTTAAGTTTGTAAATATTGCTTGTATGCAATATGAAATATAAAATAAAATGTTTTATTTATTTATGGAGAAAATAAAAGAGGAGGTTGTGCCACCAAAATCAACTAAAAGAGTTCGGGAGAGCCCAGCGATTGAAACTGACGAGTCAGAAAAAATCACAGCTAAAAGGCCAAAGACTCAGGTAGAGAATTAAGATTATTTAATGCAAATATTTTAGCAAATATTTAACACAGAAATTAATTACATACTTAAATATACCCATACTATTTATTGAGTTGTTATTTTTTCCCACAGGATCCTCAGGGCTCCCGGTCAGAGGGAGAGGCTGAGATTGAAGAGGAAAGCTCGTCAGAAAGCCGCAGTGCTCAAGATGATGGCAGCAGTGACACCAAAGATATTGATCAGGACAACCGCAGCTCATCTCCCAGCATTCCCAGCCCTCAACAGGGCAACGAGAGCGACTCTGACTCCTCTGCACAGCCCCACGGCGCTCAATCAGAGCCAGCTGCAGCTTCTTCAGCAAGTGATGCATCAGCTTCACACACTGTTCCATGTCAGGGGCCTACTGTCATTCCTCCACCTCCTCAGAGGACCCCCTCTGCTGGCTCTGCCAACAGCCCTCCACCTCCATCCACGGAATCACTTCAGACCAGCACCAGTCAGACAACCACTGCCTCTAACAGCCACACACAGCCTGCTCCACCCTCTACAACTGGTCCTCCAGGGCAGGACGCTCCCCTCTCTGCACCATTCCAGGTCCCGTCTGCAGTAAACGGTGGGAGCCCACAACCCCTGCCTTCACAGCCATCCCAGAGAGCACCAATCTTCTCTAGAGACCCTCAGCTTCAGCAGAGTCCTTTACTGGGACCACAGATCAAACCACCTCCCACAACCCCCATCCCTCCTTCACACAAACAAATGCCACATCCGCCTGCTGCCCCATACCCACAGATGCCTGCCAACCTGCCTCCTCCTCCTGCCCTGAAGCCACTCAACGCTCTGCCTAACCAGCACCCCCCTGGGGCAGCCCCTCCTCCTCTGCAGATGATGCCACAGCCTGTGCCCACCCAGCTGCCAGTCATCTCTCAGGTGCAGAACCTTTCTGCCAAAGGCATGAGTGTTCCTCATCTACCTTCTGCACCCAGCACCATCACATCTGTTACTGCATCTGCAATCAGCCCCATCCAGAGCCTTCAGTCGTCAATTCCTCCTCTGCGACCCTCGGGTCCCACAGGCTCACAGGTTCAGGTAAAAGAGGAGCCATTGGATGAGATGGAGGAGCCAGAGAGCCCGCCTCCTCCCCCCAGGAGTCCCTCTCCACAACCAACTGTGGTTAACATGGCCAGCCATGCCAGCCAGTCTGCTAGGTATGACACTGCACAGTCAAGAAATGTAATGAAAATATATTACTTTTCACTTAAAATTCCATAATTGTTGGGTAACCTCATCATCTGTCTATGCAAAAGTGATATGTAAAAAAAAACATTGTCTGAATTATGCTTTTCTAGGTTTATTAAACACCTGGATCGTGGGTATAACTCCTGTGCAAGAACAGACCTCTTCTTCACTCCACTGTCATCCTCAAAGTTGGCCAAGAAGAGAGAAGAGGCGGTGGAGAGGTCCAGAAGAGAGGCAGAGCTCAGTGCTCGACAAGAACGCGAACGGGAGAAGGACAGAGAGAGGGAAAGGGAGGTAGATAGGAGCGTGGTGAGTGGTCTTCAGTGTATTTTAAATGACTAAGATGAATTGCATAATAACTACAACATTTGTATACTTTCTGCAGAAAGCCTCTAGTTCCTCCCTTGAAAGTCGAATGAGTGAAGCTCAGATGACAGCCCATGGGCGGCCCTCCTTTGAGCAGCCTCCCACCACTGTTGCTGCTGTTCCTCCATACATAGGCCCCGATACCCCCGCTCTGCGCACACTGAGTGAATACGCTCGGCCTCACGTTATGTCTCCCACCAACAGAAACCATCCTTTCTATGTGTCCCTGAGCCCTGGAGACCCCCTGCTGGCCTACCACATGTCCGGCCTATACAGTACTGATCCTAGCCTCCGGGAGCGTGAGCTTAGAAACCTGAGAGAGAGAGAGCTGCGGGAGAGGATGAAGCCTGGATATGAAGTCAAGGCCCCAGAATTGGAGACATTGCACCCCTCCGCTAACCCCATGGAACACTTTGTTAGACACGGCGCTCTGGCTCTCCCTCATATTCCCGGGCCTCCTCATCCCTTTGCACCGTTTCATCCTGGGCTTCTGGAGCGTGAGAGGATGGCACTAGCGGGACCACAACTGCGGCCAGAGCTGAGTTACGCTGAGCGGCTGACTGCAGAGCGCCTTCATGCTGAGAGGATGGCCTCGGTGGCCACAGACCCAGCTGCCAGGCTACAAATGCTCAATGTGACGCCACATCACCATCAGCACTCACACATTCACTCTCACCTCCATCTGCACCAGCAGGACCCTCTCGGCCAAGGTCTGCCTCCACTAAAGAACAGTGTATGGTGAACGCTGTTATAAATCAGCTGTCAAGCTGAATGTTGCTTTGTCATCGTTTTTAGGTTCCAGTCCCCATCCTCTGGTGGATCCTATGGCACCTGGGCCACGTTTGGCCAGATTTCCTTTCCCTGGAGGACCAATCCCAAACCCACTGCTCAGTGATCTGCCTCATGATCATGAGATGCTGAGGCACCCGTTGTTTGGTGAGCGTTATTGCTTAATGACTCTTGTGTATGTATTCTGCTGTACTTCCAGTTTTGTGTAATAAATGTCTGTCTTCAGGACCTGCATATCCAAGAGAGCTGCAGGGTCCGATCCCTCAGATGTCTGCTGCCCACCAGCTCCAGGCCATGCATGCCCAGTCTGCAGAGCTGCAGAGGATGGCTATGGAGCAGCAGTGGCTACATGGGCATCACCTTCACGGAGGGCCTATACCCAGTCAGGAAGATTATTACAGGTAAGGTATCAGCTTAAAATTTCAAATACTGAACAATATATGTCACATAGTAACATATATTCTCTATTCTTTTATTAAGTCGGCTGAAGAAAGAAGGTGACAAGCCATCGTAACTATTAGTTGGTGCATGCTAATAAGCCTATACTAGTACCCTAAGGAATACTGTGTACCCAATAAGAGTGTAAGAGAATAATGGATGTTTGTTAATATCTGCTTTTAATATATTTTAGAAGAAAAATCCTAGTGTATTGTTATGTGCATTCCTCGTATAGCACTTAATGGGACTGTCAAAGTCTGTCAGAGATTTTCATATCTACTCTTTCTACTAGTTTTATCAAATCATTGACATATTTAATGCTGAAAAGTGACAGTTATTTCCACGAACTGTTTCACAGTTTCTAACTAAGTGAAGAATAATGATATTTAGTAAAGGATATGAAAACAGTACATCTTTGGGGGTTAACTTTAGATATCTATGGTTTTAAATTTGTTTCAACTGTATCAATGGCATTTAAAATCAGTGTTTGGATGATTGTAATGGACCTAGCATGATTCAGTCTGTTTCCACTAATCTAGAGTAGCAAGTTGCATTGTTGTTTAGAAAGCATAGTCTAAGTTGGTTTACTCTAAATCTGCTAAATATTTGTGTAAATCCTGAAGTTTTATATCTATCTTTTCACACTTAAACTGAAGCTTTTATCCTTTGTTTCTGAGAGTGTAAATATTACATGTTCACAATATTAGATGAATGAGTTCTATTGATATAGCAGTAGAAGTGAACTGCCGCCCCCTTAATTTAGCACGAGATCATTAACTATAAGCTATTACATGAAGTATTATAAGCTGACGCAATAATTCATTTGTCAGAGGAAAATCATGTTGACGCCAATACTAGAATTGACTAAAAGGTTTAATAAAAAAATGAACTCCTGCCATTTTAATTGAATTTGAACAACTGCTAAGACATTTAATATTTATGGGACATAATATAAAATTGTATCCATTACATATTTATTTCAATAAATTACTCTTTTGGCATAAAACCTTTTTTATTTCTGATTTTAAAAATCTACACCATTCTCATTTATCAGAATTTGTTTATTAAATATTTACATGATGAAAAGTGAAATGAAAGAACTTATTTTTCAACCTATTTGTTTCCATACAAGTAAATCCCTCATACAGGCACGTGCTCTGGCATACAGCTCAACCTGCAATAACCTCAACAAAAATGTTAAGCACTCAAATACCTCTCATATGTATATTTAAGCTACCACACAACTCATAACCCTCACTGTCACATCTAATAACCACATTATCTTAACTACAACTTTCCAATACCAGCTTTACATGATAGTACCCTGTTCTTCTATCTTCTTGCTCCAGACATAAGGCAGTGAATGTATCTAGCCTTGAGATTAGCACACATCTATATCTAGATCTATGTGTTGAGGCATAGTGTATCTGGACCCAAACTTGGTTACAACACTAAGTATATGCTTATTTTATCGTCAGTCTTCTTGTGGTGAAGTTTTTCTCTTCATAAATTGTCTCAGATATTGGATTGCTGACAGTGCACTCACATTGGCCAGGAGGGCTGCAGAGAATCAACATAAAATTATTTTTTCATATAATTCATTTCTGAAAACTTAAGGCATAGTGGCTTGGTTTCTTACCTGCTTTCCAGGCATCAGCTGCTTCAGGGTCAGAGGACCTCAGAACCCATGAAGCAAATGCAATGCAGACTAAACACATATCTGACTGCTTTATTGTGGAAAATATACTTTGAGAATCTGAAATAGAAATGAAACAATAAAACATGCTAGTTATAAAATGTCTGGGGAGATTTAAGCTATTAACCTTTACTTTTTTTTTAACATTAAATTAGTTAGCCACCATAAAACACTGCATTACATTGACCAAATGAAAGAATCAATAATTAATTTTAGTAGTTATAATTGGGGCATTTTATGTTTCTTGTCTGTTCAGCTAACTTTTTGGGGATGTTCTGGATCTGGTATGTTACTTTTTTCAGTTATAAAGCAAATGTATAGTTATAAGATAAACAAGGATTTGCTAATTGTACCAATTTATAGTCTGAAATTAATTATAACTTACCACATGGCATTTGGTTCTTCTCCATAGAAATCTGCCCAAATGCTGCTTCTTTAAACATTTTGGGTGTCATGGAGAGGACACTTCCTTCACCGACCACAGTAACATTTGAATCAATCGCGCAAACTGGCTTTTTCTCAGCCTCAGATCTCCATACATCAGAACCTTTGTCAAGAAAACAAATCTTCTTGACTGAGTACAAACTTGACAGATCTTGGGAGAAGCAGTAGGATCGGTCAGTATGCTTACAGTCCATTCCCTGTAAAATAGACTGAGAGACTATTTGTATAGGAGACACATCCTTCATTGTTGTGTAGTTTGTACCTGAGAAAATACAGCCAGGTTTGGGAAATGTCAGCTCCCTTACAGTCGGACGTGAGCAGGAGAAAATTGGGATTGGCTCCTCAATACAGGGTATGATTGGAAGGTTGTTAGTGGCTGTACAAAATGTATATTCATTCACAGGTGATGCATAGTTTCCCTGCAGCCCATAGACACTGACTGACATTACTTCACACTTTGCTTTGTTATCATCAAACAGGTATTCATATACTTTAGGGAAAGATATTTGATATTGTTCATCTGTGAGGCACATGACTGGAGTGACTACTTCAAAGCCATCACTCATTTTCAGCGGCTTCTCCAAAGACTTGCAGCTGCTCATATCCAGAAATGCTTGTGATGATAAACCTTCCATTGACTTGGGTGCATGAATGTCATACATACTCTTATTTTTTCTCATCTGTTGCGGCATAGCAAGGTCATAGGAATTAAACGTGGAATCACAAGACCACTTTTCCATGGAACAGTCTTCAGAGGGCACAGGTGTACCCATTTCATCTGATTCTTCACTTGTACAAACATAATCTGTGCATTCACTTTGGTAACTTTTGCCATGTTGGTCAGGACTTGAGTTTCTACTTGAATTGATAAACTGCCAGTATTCCTCTTCAAAATCAGAGGTAGAGAAATCCCAACTTGAACGGTCAGGTTTGGACTCGAGATTTGTGCAATAGTCAGAATCAGCTGTATCCAATGTGTCCAAAATAGTGGTTTCAGGTAGGCTTACTGCATTGACAGTACTTATATTATCTCTACTTATAGTATTTTTGTCATTTGTTATAATTGCTTCCTCAATTGGCAACATGCACCTTCCCGTTCTGATGTGCAAGATGTCATTGATCGTCAATTTTTCCATTTCATCCCAGAAAGCAGAGATGGCATATACAGGCTGAGAGCTCCCAGTGGCTTTTGCATACGCCTCAGGACTTTCCATAGTAACAAGTTGAGGTGAACATTCAAGTTGGTTTTCTAAAGAGGTTGATGGATTGTCTGCAGATGCAGGTGTATCCACAGACATGCAGAGCTCAGTGCTGTCAGCGCCAGTGCTGCATGTGGAGTTGTCATTTGGAGGGTTGTCAACACTGTAGTTGGCAAGTGGAAAAATCTGTGATGTTTCTGTGACTGACTGGCTGCCATCTTGTTTTAAACATCCATTTGTGAAGTGCATTCCTCTGCCTACTGAACTGTAATCATTAATACTTATGGATAGATTACAAGGTGAATTTGGCATATAGAGATATCTAGGGTCCTCCACAGACTCTGCAGCAGAATGGTAAGTTTCTGAATCATAACTAGAACTGGAGAAGGACTCGTAATCTGCAAATTCATCTGATTCGGCACTATTTGTATGACATGTAATTGAATTATAGGTACATTTACCAGAATCTGTACCTACTTCAACTCCATTTCCAATGATCAAATTAAGACTGTCCTCTTTACAAGATTCTCCAAAACATGTGAGTGACCCTGAGTCAGAATTTCTGGTTTGGTTTATTGCATCACAATTGTTGGAAGCATCTATTTTGGTATCTTTTATTAAAATATTTTGCATTTTGCCCTCATTACTAGAATCTTCAATTTCTGCATTAACTTTCATCTGAAATCTTTCTTCTTGAATATACTTGGAGCCAGAGATTTGTTTGGTTAAGTCAAACTCAACACAAGTGCTATTTTTTACCTTTGTCAAATTACTGATGTCTAAAGGGTCTATACAAGACTTGTGAAGGCACGTCAAATCCATTGCAACTTGAGTTTGAGAGCTCTCACTACTTACATTTCGGTCTTTCTCTTGAATGAACACGGAGTCTGACTTTTTGACGCATTCTATTATTTCATTACAAGTGTCACATTTGCTCTCTCTTGGATCACTGGCAATGGAAACTTCAATGCATATCATTTCAGTTTTTTGTTGTATTTGGGCACTTTTACAGCATATTTTCTGAGTCAATATAGTGTCAATGGATTTAATTTGGTTTATGTCACATTTGGCATTTATTGGTTCACTGGTATTTCCTATATCCAAATGGTCCGAGCTATATTTATGAGATGCAGTACTGACGACTGCTTCCAAGCTCTTAGTATTTGTATCTGAGAACTTCTGTTGAGGTAATTTGACTTGATCACAATAATTAACTTTATCATTATGTATACAGTCCACTTTACAGATTTTGTTCTGTTTCCTTTTCTTTTTAACCACAGGGACAGTAGCAGATACCAGTTTTTGAGATGGTTTGTCACTGACACTCACAAACAAATGCTCTTTCTCTGCCCAGGTAATACAGTCAAGTGCATCCTTCAAAACAGGCTCTGGTTCAGACTTTAGGTCACTTTCTGCTTTACTGTCTACACCAGAAGAACACTGAACAAATGCATCTCCCTTTTCTTCAACTACAAGTTCCTTACTGTCTTCTCCAGTTTGGTGCTCTTTTATGGGTGTGTAGGTTTGTGTGGTAAAGTCTGTATCATCTGCATCACTAAGACCAGAGCTGTCAGGACAAGCCAGGGAAGCTTGCAGTAGACAGCACTCTTCACTCTCCTCACAGAAGCTGAACCAGTCATTGTCGGAAATGTGCATGCTATGATCCAAGTCATCCATAGTGATCACTCACTCGTCTATCATCTTATCTGTAAATTTAAACACAATTTCTGATTAGGTGACATGTTTAAAAAGACACTTACACTTTGTGAATTAATGGCTAAAGGATAAAAATGATATAAATATGAAAATATTTGATTATAAAATTATATAAATATGAAAATATGATAAGAGAAAAATTTTTTGCAAACTTCATCAAGAAAATTTTGAACTTGAATTCACCCTGAAATTATTCAATTTCTATTAAATAAAATACACCTTTTAATCTTAACAGCAATCTGTAGTAGAGCCTACTAGTCACAAGCTTCATAAAACCTGCCACAGTGAGATTTGCCATGGTCCTTACTCATAGAGATTAGTTATGATTAAATTGAAAACAACACTGAGTGACTTGACACAAACACACAACACAGAATGAACTTGACCTGTCATAGAACTCAACTGTGGTATGCCGCTCTCGTGAACATTTATTCACAAGGCTCTTATATGACTGAATCTGTTGCAACTTAAAGGCAGATTTCTAGAATTTCTAGCAGAAGTTTGGTGCCATCCTTTCATATAATACGTATCTTTTACAGTTTGTCTTTAAATTATACTATTTTCTGCTAAGGAGAAATCATGCATCAAAACCGTTTACTTTTAATCACTCCCTGCTGGACTCATCCTTATATCCCATATCCTATATATCCGTTCCTATTTTCTTCTACCGTTCTACTTTTCAGATGTTACTTGGGATTGTTTGAACAACAAATAATGGTACAATAGTTTGTTATCTGCATGGCATTTATCTACATTTCTAATCATCCATCACTTTAAGTGTTTTAACATTAAAAGTGTTTAAGTTTGTGATTAATCAACATACCTGTGACACAAGGACAAAATGTCCACCCTGAAGGCTGTTGTGTGTCCACTGTAGCGACATGCTCCGATGTGTTGTCAAAGTCAGAGTGGAGCCTTTCTCAGCTGATATAAATAGAGCTGCTGGGTCACATGCCAACATCCGTCCCTCATCAGAGGAGGTGTGACATTTCAGACCAACAAAATACAAGCAAAGATCAATGAAGAATGGATTTTTGAAGCAAGACGGTAAGTAATAGATTATATAACTTTTACACAGGTTTAAACATGACTATTACATAACAGTTTCAGCAGTATTAATGAGCAGCACATCATGTATTCTAATGTCTGTAATTTAAAGATTTCAACTCCAATATAATCACCATCAAACATAATGTGTAAAGTGAGCACAAACCATACGCTTTATAGAAAAGAGCTTTATTTTTTATAAACAATACTTACATCTACAATAAATTCACAAATATAAAAAATAAATGAAAAATATACAATGGATCACAGCGCTTACTTGATTTGGAAATTGGCTTTTAGTGTTGTGATGAAGTATAGCCTTTACATTTTACAGAAGGCCACTGGAGTAGATCCAAATGGATAATGTATTTTAGTATTACTGCTTGTAATGGCACACATCTATAGGCAAAATTTGAGTTAGCAAAAACTAGTCAAGTAATAGTCAGTGCAACTATAATTGTCGCCATTTAAATATAATTCTTAATTACACTTAATGGCAACATTTTAGGCAAAGTGCACAAGTAACTAGGGTAAAGTGCACTGTTTTGTAACGGTCTGGATAAAATGGAAAATTCTCATTCTTTTTTGATTATAAAAATTGAAATTTATCATAAATGTCTACATAGAGTCTATATGGAGTTGAGTATTTTAACAAACAAATTGAAGATGATTTAAGATGATAAATTATTAATTATTCTTAGCAGTATTTTATTAGATACCAAACACAACTTGACAGAAACCACCATAAACATCAAAATTAAACTAAAACTAAATAAATACATCAGTAATAATAAAACTATCTGAAGTTGGATAAAATTGCAAAATAAATTTCCACCATCTTTGTTGATGTAGCAAAGTATCTGCTCATGGAATGATTCTTATAGCTGTGACATTGTTACACTTATAAAAAACATTCACTTATCCAATGTGTCCAAGAGACACAAAATAAATAAAACACAGCTGCAATTATAACAATGAAAAACAACCAATATCTACATCTCAAATCTACCCTAAGCATTCTTTTGTCCTGTATAAATACTCAGTGCATGGTTACAAATAGGAAATAAATATTACATATCCTGCATATTAAAACATCCAGAAATCTGACAGTATTTCTCTCAAAATTTACTCTTGTTGGTCTTCAGATTACATCAACCCATTTGTTTTCAAAATATGTTTATAGATTCCACTCTCACCAACTACTGTACTGTCTAACCCTTATTACAACTAAAAAAGTACCACTTACAAAAAAGAAAAAGTAAAAACAGAATTATGTGAAAAGTCTAAACTTAGAAGCACTGACCCATTTACGTCAAAGCAATATGTATTGCACACTTGATTTTGGTTTTATAAAGTTAATGAAAAACATTTGGTAAATTATTCACTGAAGCCGATCTCATTTGTTGTCTATAGTTATACTATTAACAGTCAATGTGAAATCGCAGCTACACTAAATTTGGCAACTTTACTTTATAACAAGTTATACTGTTTGAATGACTGCACATCATACCTCTGGAATTATTCATTCATCTTTCCTGAGGTCTCCAGCTCCCTCTACAGGTTAGGCTTGTGTAGTGGCCGCTGTGGAAATGGAGGCACTGTTCAGAGTAGATGCTGCTGATGGTCGCTCTCTCCTGACATATCTGGTCTTTCTCGCTAAAAATAAATAAAATAAAAGTTCAATAACAGCACAGCGGAGACATGAGACAAATTATAACATTAAAGATTTGAGCTTTAGAGGGCTGAACAACTTCCACAACTCATTATAGATACTAATAACTATGCAATTGTTTTCACTATTTGCTTTTAGTTACAGTATTTATATTTTTGGTATCAATATATAGCACACTTCAAAATGTATTACTATGACAGTCCTAGCTGGTAAGCCAATTATAGTTTTAAGAACATACCTGATGTGGAAGGTATCATGACTGCCTAAAACACAAAATGCAAAAATAAAATGTGAACTAAGAATTTTCAAGCTCTACCTTAGTAAAAATAGATAAACATGGTAAAATGTACTTACAGTCTCACTTGGCTGGAATATAAAAGCTATAAAAACAGAAGGAATAACAACAACATTACAAACTGGATTAAATTAATTTGTGTTTTTAATAACTGAGATCTCTCTCTCTCTCAAAGTGTATTTTAAATCATACCTTTGTTGCGGCGGTAGAAAATGCTTGGGAGTCGATTTGAACGTTTGAGGTAGAAAAAGGAGGCAACTGACAGAATGAGGAACAAGCTGATTAACAATGTTCCAAGAAGAAGAGAAGCCGCTACACCTGGTCCCCCTGTTTGCACCAACAGCATTAAGAAAGGTAAACTGGGATTAACCACATACATGCCGTTGTAGTAGTAGTCAGACACTTATTTATGAATAGAATTAATTTACCAATTTTAGGAATGACTGTAGTGACTGTGGTGTGATTCTTTCTTTCCACTGTGTAGTCTGCGAAAAGATGACAAATCATGAACGCACTTCATCAGAAAAAAATATTCAATGTTTTGTGTCTTTACTGTAAGTGCAGGCTGTTATGTTTTCCAACTCCACAACCGCAGAGTCACAGAATATGCAAACAGTATTGCTGTTCTCCAGGACCCGCAGAAAGCATCCTAATGAAGAATTAACAACAAACCAAGAAAGGTGATTTTTAATGGATTGCATTGATTCACCTGTAAGGTAAAATAAATATCATGCCACCAAACAGTACATCTAAAAAGAAGAAAGTTGTGTGCAAGTAATATTGATGTATGAGTTACCTGGTTCACAGTGAGTATCATTTGAACAAGTGCTGTTGAGTCTCTGATGCTTGTCACTGCAACACTCCAGTGAATTCTGGTGTAAAGCCTTAAACAGGTAATTTACAAAGTAAATAATTGACAGGAAAACACATACACAATCAGATGCTTTTTTAACTACCCCACCTTAGTTACAGGTGTTTCAGGTCGAATGAGAATAACTGTTGCAGCCAAGACCAACAGAAATGACAAAGCCATGCTTTCACCCTAGGAGATAGTAAAAAGTAAAAAAAAAAAAGTAGCATTACACTGGCAAAAGACAGCGTCACAGCATCCCCTAACAGCAATCAATGTAAGATACATGACTGACTGGTTCGACAGGTTGGTTGTGCTCTATAGAGCTACAGTCTACAAACTTTGTGAGTAAGTAGTTAAGTCAGCAAGTTTACCTTTAGTCGTTTTGTCCACAGTAGTCTCTATTAAGATGGACTGCATTATATGCACCCTTCACATCATCAACAATGTGGTGTAGTTGACAACCTTATTTGTAGATAACCAATTAAACATTTTAACTAATCTGTCATCTCGAGCTTTTAACCATCGTAACACAAACGTTTAAGCAATACAAGAAATAATAATAATAATAATGATAATAATAATAATAATAAATAAGCCTATGGTTGTCACAGATAGTGTTTATCTTTGTGCACCTGCCGCTTGGATCGCATTAGAGATATATAGCTAGATAGCTATTCGGGAATGTCTTATTAATTGGATTATACGAAAACTGTTACGTGTTCTATTTTAAGCTATAAGGATGTGTTGACAGCAGCACGCTAATGAAACGCAAACCACAACTTACCAGCCAAACAGTAGCTAGGTTTTCACCCGTCCAGACTCCAGAGTGATACCTGAATAGGTCAGCCAGAGTCGGATACCAATTTACATTCACCAGACTATCATTTGTGTTTAGAATGAAAGAAAACCCCGAAATCACAGATTTTACGTAGCTGAGAACAACCACCTGCTTTCGTTTGGCGTTTGTACTTCCGGGTTTACACTTCATATTAAAAGACGGACGGAAGAAATGTCTATTTATTTTTTATTAAAAAAAATAAATAATAATAATAATAATGATTATATATATATATATATATATATATATATATATATATATATATATATATATATATATATATATATATAGATATAGATAGATAGATAGATAGATAGATATAGATAGATTAGATTGTTTATTTCACCACACATAATATTCTAATTATTCAAAACGCCAGCAAAGCAGCCTCAAGCACCAAGTTGCAGTGGCGGGAAATTGTGAACTTTAACAGGCGCATTTAAAATCATCTTGGCCTTTAAAAACTGTAAGTTTGTTTACACTTTACAGCTTACAATGGTTGATTTAACCCTGTATCTTTGATTGAAATGACAAGGCAATTTAGTGGTACAAACAACAAACTATTTCTTGCCATCTTGAAAATTTTGCTTTAGCTAGTAGTTGAGATATGTTAGCAAAATGTCATCAAACATTACGTTCTGTGTACAAATATTCTATTGAAAAAATTTATGTTCTACAACAAATAGTTGTGAAGATTGAAGAGACTCAGATAGAAAGAGAACAGTATTGGCAGGTAACTGAATCAATAAAATTGATAATGAATCTATTCACTGTGCACTGTATTTGTTCACTGACAATGTCTTTTGGTTATACTTTATCTTCTGTATACATAATTTATCAAATGTGTGTTTCAGAGAGAGAGAAAATGAATCACATGAGGAATTTGACAGAGATGATGACTGTCCCAACTGGAAACAGGTGCATACATTAAGATAGACTTTATGTCACAGAAACTGTTAAAAAAGGAAGTCCTTTCTAGATTTGCAAAGCTTATGTGCATAGTGGCTGCACAAATTTAAACTTTTTGTTTAATAGGACCATTAACGCCATTGGACACTCTGTAACAGATTCACAGTTTTTCCTTGGGTCTCAGTTTTGGCCTGAAAATTCTGCATCTCAGTCACTCAGTTTGTCTTCCTGGAACTCGACACAATCTCAGGAGGTAAGCACAAAGTTGCATTAATGCAACTAATTAACCTTAATTGTATTTTAGATGCTAACTACGGTACTCAAAGCAGCTTATTCCTCTAACATTTCAGTCTGATCAATGCATTTACTAGTCTTCTATTTGTCCCCCTCTGCGCATAACCTATGTAAACACGTTTTTATATTGTTTGGACAAATACACTTCTATACACATTTTTGCCTTGTTAAAGAAAACAGATTTACTCCATAACAGTAGATTATGGCATGCGATGCCATCCCATTACTCTTCAGTATGGAGATGGTATTGCACATATATGCCATAGACAGGCCTTATCATTTAAAATGGCATGAGCACAATTAGGTTACTCAACTGATTTTTTTTTATCAGGAAAGTGATCCAACCCTGCTACGTGCTTATCAAAGTAAACCTCTTCTGTTTGGTGAAACTAAAGATAAAAGCAAACTTTTTAGCCTCCTGGACAAATTTGAACAAGACAAGAAGAACAGTAAGGAAAATTCTAACAGGTACTTACTGTTTCTGTAGATTCATATCTGAAACTTTAAGCAGATTAAGTCTTGGTAACTGAAATAAGTTAAATGCATGCTTCTTTTTAGTGAAGCTTTAGCCAGTGAGTGTGTACATATTCGAGAAACTCTTAACAAAGTAAGTGTTAAAAAAAAGTGTAAAATCTTTTTAAATCTATTGTCAGATATTTATGTATGTACAATATTTTCAGATTCAAGACCTTGCTACTGCTACAGAGAAAAATATTGCAGTCTTTGAAAAGACTGAAAATGTTGTTTCAACATGTAAGTTGATTGCCATATTTACCCTCTAGATGGCAATGTTGTACAAAAAGCAAATGTTGGTCTGGGGCTGTTGATAAAAACTATGTAACCTTTTCAGTGAAGAATAACCTATCAAGCCTCCAAAATGACATTACCCTGCAGCTTCAGACATTACTGAACAGAGTAAATTCTCTACAAGAGACAGTGACAGGATTAGAAAGCAAGATGGAAAAGGTCTGTATATAACTAGGGCAGAGACATATATATATATATATATATATATATATATATATATATATATATATATATATATATATATATATATATATATATATAGATAGATAGATAGATAGATAGATAGATAGATAGATATAGATAGATATAGATATATAGATAGATATATAGATATAGATAATTGTAATTATTGGTTTGTAATTCCATGTTTTCTATGTTTAGACCACCACAGATATTAGCTGCTCTGTGCTAAGCTTAATGACCAACGTGGATGGCCTAAAAAAGGACAAAAAAACAGAACAAGATATGCTTGAAAAGGCCCTTAAGCTTCTGAGTGTTTTAGTGTCCAAGGATTCACCCAAACACAGCCCAGTGACAGTAATGGACAGCTTCATTCAGACGTCACCAAGCCTCACGCACTCTTTAACTGGAAGTTTGCAGGAAAACCAGCTCAAGCAACGACAGCCTGATACAGTGTGTAAAGCAGATGCACGTAAGGAGAACAGAGGATGTGTGGGAAAGAGGAAACCCAAAAGACTCTCTGTAAGACATAAAAGGCGCCCTCTAGTGATAGCTCAGAACCACAAGCCTGAGGTGCTTCAAGAAAACAGCCCCTCCCTCCTGAATGGTAACAAGTTGTCTCTCTCTGAGTGTCACAACAAAAATGGGAGCAAGAGTTTCATCACTCCCCTGAGCTGCTGGTCCCAGGACAGCAACAGCTCAGCCTGCCTGAATGGGATCGACCCCATCCTGGACAGGGCAGAGGCCTCAGCACAGCCTGGAGGCCTGTGGCAGTTGTTTGAATTGGACTTTTAATGGATGAATATAGACACCATAATCAAAGTTATGTTTTTTATTCTTTATTATATTTAGTTGTTATTATTTATTATATTATTTGAGTAGGATTTAATGTTTAGGTGAAAGAAAATTTTGTAAAATAATCCATTGTAAATAGCCTTTCCTAGACAGTGATCTGATTTACTGGAAATATGAATTACTTTATTTGTATTCATTTATAACATTTCTGGGGTACAATTAAAAGGTATATACAATCCAATAAAAAAAAGTTAAAATATTATAGATTACTTTATCCATGTATGCAGGTTTGTCTAAATGTGTAATAAAATAAGGTCATGATCTTCTAAGAGCTAGTATGGTGTATATTTATCACTGTACAAACTCATATTAAACCTGTATATTTACATCTCACTTTAAAGTGTATTGCAGATCATTTTTTGCACATAACCCTGATTACATGCCCATGAGCGTCGGACTTGCTTTTAGCTTCAAACTCTGCCACTACACTCTGAAATGTGACTAAAGAGTCATTGTTTAATTAGGTCTGCTGGTGGGGACATGAGGCCTCTTGGGTTGAGCTTTGCTACGAGGCACACGTCATAGTTGTCGTGCATTAGAGTGTGGCGAGCCACCACTGTCCAGCGCTGATCCTTCGGATCTAACTCCAGAATGTCCTTTGTTATGTTATCATGACGATCTAAATGGAGATAATGACATGGGAATTATTAAACACATAATACATGTTATACATTAACTGGTTATTACCTGCTCCTCTGTAATATCCACAGATAAAAATTTTGCCTCCCACCACTCCTGCATTTGAAGCATTGGTGCGCAGTGAAAGTTGGGGACATGGAAGTTGAGGTCCCTCTTTCCAGAAGTCTCCATCTGGATTATATATCTCCACAGCATCAAGGCAGTGACGAGACTGACCTCGGTCTAGACCTTCACACCCTATGCCTCCTGTAGATACAAAAGAATAGGTAAAGCAATACAACTTCAAAGAATTTTATTTACCACTTATCTATTTCTAGTGTCTTACCCATCACATATATTTCCCCATTGAGTACCACAGCAGCACAGCGATACTTTGAGTACTTCATAGGAGCTAGTTCAGTCCATCTGTTTGTGTTTGGGTCATATTCCAGGAGGCGGTTACTGAGGCGGTCAGGCTCATCATCCAGACGATATGACTGGACAGTAAAATGAAAGTAAAGCATGGGCATTATGTATCAAAATAATATTTTATATTTAAAACCTGTGGAGTTCGGCCACCCATGACATAAAGACGATCATTCATTTTGACCACACTGTGATAGGCCAAAGGAAAGGGCAAAGGAGCTGCACTGCGCCAAGGGCCTCCCTGCAGGGACCAGCGCTGCACACAGTTAGTGATAAGATACTGGTTCTTCAACTTCATTAATCCACCCACTAGATACAGAGTGTCCCCTAGCGAAGCTAAACCATAGGAATCACGGTACTCTGCAGATGTCATCTGCTCCCAGCTTCCTTGCGCCTCAACTTTGTATCTAAAAGAATACATTATCAGTAGCTGTAACATTATGTAATTTGCAAATATTTGAGGCACATACCTGAAAATGTCAACATTTATGTCTTTTTTCCGGGCCATCTTGCGGGCATTTGCTTCTCCTGACACAATAATGATATTTTGTTCTGTCACAACCCCAGCACCAACGTGTCCCAGAGCATCTCCATAGCTAGGTGAGGTCATATAATAAATTCGACCTGTAGATGGAGCAAAGCAAAAACTGCGCTCGCAGTAGTTGCCATATCTTGACCTTATCCCATCACTGTCATTTCCCACACAAAGCAGCAGGTCTGTGGTCTCCATGCCATACCTCAACTTCATTTTTCGTGGTGCAGCACATGGATGCATTTCTCCGACATCCAAAGCCATATTCAACATCTCTAGACATTCAGCATCAGCCAGCAGAGCTGTGTTGCTTCTCATACTTTCTCTTAAATAATCTGCATTTATGAGAGGCAGTCGCACTTTCCTCAGCAGCTCTGGAAGGTGTCGAGCACGTAACTCCTCATCCAGCAGACTCCCATGGTTCACCCAGCGAAGGACAACATCTAAGATAGTTTCTTCTCTGGAAACATTGAGATCATCTGATGAGATGAGTTTGACGAGCTGATGGGCCTCCAGCTCAACGACCTCGTCATTTTGACATACTTCAACAAAGTGTTGCTTCAGGTAATGATATGCGTGGTCAGCCAGTTCCTCTGCACCAAGGTCACGAGCAAAGTAATACACACCAAGGCAGTTGGACGCGTCCATGTTCTCTGTCATGTGCTGCCTACAGCGATTAAAAACATCATCCATCTGTAACAAAAAAGGAGGCGACAGCAATGCCTTGTACATTGTCGTTAGTGAGAGGCAGATCAGCACAGTACATGTAGTTTAGGAGAAGAGCCAGGCTATCTGCTGGCGTGTCCCTCAGGAAGATCTCTCTGTTGTGGCACTCTCGAAGGCCACATGTAAACATGACACGAAAGTATGGGCTGAATGCTGAAAGCACAACCCTGTGGCAAGGGAAGCTGATGCCTTCAGCCACCAACACAACATCTGTCAGATGTTCAGTCTCCCGCATCCTCTTCAGCTGGTCCATCAGCACCACGCCATGCTTGAATGTGAGATCCATAGTGCTCACAGCTTAAGAATCAGAACTGAAGCAATGTCCGCTATGGGAATGGGGGAGGGGGGAGGGTTATAAAAAAAAAACACTGAGTTAGCACAGCAAAGTTTGACAACAATATTTCTAAATATGAGCCTTGAAAAAACGAACCTTTTTCAAATTTTTGTTTTGCAAAAAGATGTTTGTTGAAACAAAGACAAAGTAAATAGAAAAAAGTAATTTCTCGTATTACACGTATTAATTTAAAACATTTCACATTTAAACCTTACCAACCTTTAGTGTGAAGATTTAACTTTAATCCACAGTATTTAGATCTTCAGATGAGAAAAAACATTTGGGTATTCATCGGCTTTTTCTTGTTTTTGTTGCTGCGTGCTGTACTCCTTAGTTAAGTTACTGAGCAAATGCTGTAGCCAAAGATATGTGCCCCCTCTGCCTCTGTGCCCTCTGAGCTACAGTCCAAAAATAGACAGTGTTTTGGCAGAGACTCTTTTGGGGTCACAAGGATTCAAGAGAAATGTTGCCTTATAAACAAATAATAATAATTTGTTTAAAATCAGATCAAATAAGGTTTTCCTATTATTTTCACCTGCTATGACTTTTGGTGTCTTGTTGTACTAGTGGTCAGCCATGTGCAGGAGGCAATGGTATGGATGCAACAGCTCCCTGCTCAGAGTCAGATTTCATCAGCTCGGTTTTAAAGTGACCAAGTACCTAGTGGCTATATTCAACATTAGTGCTCTCTGAATTAGTGACGTGACATTTGTGAACTAGCTGGCTCTCTTGAACAGTTCCTTAGCATGACCTGTTGGAATCAGATATAATTTTGAAAAGAGCCCGAACTTTTTTCTGATTTGTATGCAATTTTACACTAATAATAATAAAAATAACAACAACAACAACAACAATAATAACAATAATGCATCAGTCTGATATCGTGCTTTTCTGGGCACTCAAAGAAGCTTTACAGAGCATTATTCATTCAATCCACACTCAGTGGTGGTAAGCTACTATTGTAGCCACAGCTGCCCTGGGGCAGACTGATGTAATTGAGGCTGCCAATCTGTGCCATTGGCCCCTCCAACCACCACCATCACACTTGCACACACTGATTAATTAGCACAGAAGCAGAGTAGGCAACCGAATTGAAAACTTTGTGCACATTTTGATTATGCGTAGTTTCAAAAGGTAAACGCATTGTCACGCTCAGTTTGATTTATTTTAAACAAGTCTTAGCCTTGATCATTTCTCTCTTGTGATTAGTTTGTTATTAAAATGAGTTCTCACATCAGCTTTTGTATGTAATTAACTGTAAAAATAGCCAATCTGTTGAACAGCTCTTTGACATGAACAGATTCAAAAGATTCAGATCGCATAAAAGAGCTGAAAGTCACATCACTACTCTGAATTAATATTGGCCATGCTGTTATTTCAAGATCAAGTATTCTAGATATGTAGTATTTTAGATATAGTAAAACCTCTTCATTTGAAAATATAGCACCTTTCAAGATACACTGCATTGTTTATTCACTCCCTGATGGTAAGCTATAGCCACAGCAGCCTTTGAGTACAGTGATGGAAGACAGGCTGCCAATTTGCGCCACTGACTCCTCTGACCTCCTTGGTCCAAGCGGGAACTGATCTTCCGACTTTCTGTTTGGGGGACCACTGCTCTAATCATTGAGCGAGTACTACTTTCCATTACTGAGCAAAGTCAAAGAATGTTTCATGGTTCATTAGTTTTGGTGGGCAATGGAACAGCAAAAGCAGGGGAAATGATCCTTTTCCCTCTAAAGGAATTTCTCCCGTCAGTCTCTTTTTCTAACACTTCCTAACAAAGTTAATCATTAAAGATATGGCGGTATATATGTCGCCATGCAAAAACTACTAGCCCATAATGGGATTTCACATCATGGATTCACATAAGTTTGGTAAATACAGAGTTGAAAGACAGGTGTTGAATGAGGAAAGACTAGAGGAGGTTGCATACAGAAAAAGCTACTATGAAACTCATCCTCCATTTAGCAATAAACTGAAAGATTCTTTACGGTAAGATGACCTAATTTTTTAAAATTTTGTCTCCTGTTTTTATTTTAAATATTTTAATGTGATATTTTCAGATGTTCACTCCCAAGATTAAAGAGATGGGCCCTGAGCAAGTTCCCTGTGTTATATTGGCTACCCAAGTACTCACTGTGGGACTATGGTATGCCAGATCTAATCTCTGGCATCAGTGTTGGTATCATGCACTTGCCGCAAGGTATGCCTTTTTTTTTTTCCTTTTTTTTTTTTTTTTTTTTTTTGAGTAATATAATTTTAGTGTCTTTTAACAGTTTGAATGTTATCTGTACAACAGAAATATAATTTTGGCTATTGAAATAAATTAACTTTCTATGACATCCTGTAGGTATGGCTTATGCCTTGTTAGCCTCCTTGCCTCCTGTTTTTGGTCTCTACAGTTCACTCTATCCACCACTGATCTACTTATTTTTTGGAACATCACGCCATATTTCCATAGGTAACTGACAATAACCACATTGTTGGGGGTTGATGTTATGTTTATATAAGTATAGCCTATAACCATCAGACTACCACGAAACTGTATAACTGTTACTCATTATAGACATGTTCAAAATACGATCAAATTATGATTAAATTGCTACACATATCACATTTTTAACAGGAACATTCACTGTGCTGAGTATAATGGTTGGAAGTGTAACAGAAACACTTGCTCCAGACACTGCATTTTTGATAAATAATGGGACAAATATCACAACAGAAGTCAATATCACAGCCCGAGACTTGTATCGTGTTCAAGTGGCAGCTGCTACCACAGTCCTTGGCGGACTCATTCAGGTCTGTATAAGAATGTTGATTCCTCAGGCATATGTAATGGATACTACCTGCGTATTTGTAGATGATGCTTGGGATGGTAAAGTTTGGCTTTGTTGGAACTTATCTGGCTGAACCACTGGTGCGGGCCTATACAACTGCTGCTGCAGTTCATGCTGTGATTGGGCAAATAAAATACATCTTTGGAATATCACCAACACGATTCAGTGGGCCACTGTCACTTGTATATGTGAGTAATATAGAATATAATTTAGCCCTGTTTGTTTTTCTATAATGTAAATTAATTATGGTAAAATACTTCTTTTTTTTTCAGACATTTGGTCATATATGCGCCCTGCTCCCTGAGACTCATTTGCCAACCCTAGTGGTCAGTGCTGTGTCTATAGTGTGTCTTGTTGTAGCGAAGGAGCTCAATGCCTTCCTTCGCCCGAAGCTGCCAGTGCCGATTCCAGTGGAGCTTATTATGGTCAGTTCACACAGAGACACATTTTTATTTAACTTTTTTTTAATGTTACTGCAGTACTTCTTCTGTACAACATGCTGACATTGGGACCAAAAATGCATGAACACAGTGGAAACAGACCGCTGACTCAGCATTAGTGCAGTGCTTCTCACAGCAACATTTTGTGATTAATAATTACATCCATATTACTCATTTAAACAACTAAGTCATTACTTACTGATTAACTACTAACAAGGTCAGTGTTCTTTTTTAGATTGTGAGTGCAACAGTGATATCTTCCTATTCACATCTGAGCAGCAACTACACAATTTCAGTTGTTGGAGAAATACCGAGTGGGTGAGAACATCTTTTTTTACAAATACAAAAGTTACCAAAAAATATACACTTTTGTTGTGCTGAATGTGTGATTAACTGTGTCATATATTTTTGTTTTAGTCTTAGTCCTCCATGTGTACCAGATGTGAACCTGTTTAGACAGGTCATTGGTGATGCATTTGCATTAGCCATTGTTGGTTATGCCATTTCAATTTCACTTGGAAAAACATTTGCACTGAAACATGGATACAAGGTGGATAGCAATCAGGTAAACTTAAATGAGCATATTTAACTTGTGATGTTATTTTTTATTTTTATTTTTTATTTACTAGCTTTATAAATGTTTTCCTTGTTATAGGAGCTGCTGGCACTAGGACTGTGTAATATGGTTGGAGGTTTTTTTGAGTGCTTTGCTGTTTGTCCGTCTATGTCCAGAAGTCTTATACAGGAAAGCACTGGTGGAAAAACACAGGTATAAATGCCAATCACAGTGTCACCTTGCAACATATCAATCAATCTGTTTTTTTTTTTGTGTGTGTGTGTGTGTGTGTGTGTGATTTTGAAGATTGCTAGTTTGGCTTCAGCTGTGATTGTATTGGTTACTATAATGAAGCTTGGTCCTTTGTTCCAGGAACTCCCAAAGGTAATCGACTGAATGACATTTCTTTGATTATGTCTTTGTTTGTTCATACAATCATGAAAAATGTGCCTGTTGTAGGCAGTCCTTGCATCTATTGTGCTCGTTAATCTCAAGAGTATGTTCAAACAGTTGTTTGACATTGTGATTCTGTGGAAAAGAAGCAAAATTGACCTGGTGAATAGAAAATACATTAACACATGTACAAAACTGCAGAATGTGAACTCACACATTACTCCTTTTGTCTAGTTGATATGGTTGGTCACTTTGATATCAACTCTGCTCCTTAACCTGGACATGGGCCTTGCAGCATCTATTGCATTTGCTCTTCTTAGCATCATTGTCAGAACTCAAATGTAAGCATATATTACAGCCTAGTATTATCAGCAACAGTAGTATTGCAATATTGTTTTAAAATGTGCTTTTCATTTTTCCTTTACTAAGGCCAACATATTCTGTTTTGGGAAACATTCGGGGTACTGATGTGTATGTGGATATAGAAACCCATAAACAGGTAAGATGCTGTGCATCCATTAATATAACACAATTTCTGCACTGTTTCTTTAAAAAGTATAACATTTATTTTTAGGCAAGAGAGATCCCTGGTATTACAATATTCCACTCATCTGCTACTGTCTATTTTGCTAATGCTGATTTATACCTTGAAGCTCTGAAAGACAAGGTTTGTTCAGAAATTTCAGATTTTTTGTTAAAGTAAAGTTTTTAGAAAGACGTGTGTATTATACTAGAGTGGACTTGACATCAGTAAAATGATCATCTATAAGAGGAGACAGGAGGCTAAACAAAGGCGCAGAGAAAGGAGGGCAGAAAGACGAGCGAAACGGCAAGCCAAAAAAGAGGTAGAGACATGTATAATTTACCATTTCATTTTCTTAAATGTGCCTTGAACTTAACCTCCATGGTTTTTTTTTTGTTCTATATAATGTTTATAATTGTACTTTTTGCATGCATAGTAATAGTCAGCTACTGCACTGTATAAAGCCAAACAGAGCATTTAATCTCTGAATCATCTCCTTCACTGATTACTCAGAAGAGACAAGCCCAGAGGGCATCTGAGCAGCTGGCTGGTGCCCCTGTGTTTTCTGTGGAGGAAGAGGCTGGACAATGGATGGACATGGGCTTGGAAAACATTAGTGTAGGAGACAATGAAGAACAGAAGATTACAAAAAGAGAAAATGGCACTGTGTTTGTAATGCCAACCACTCCAAGGACTCCAGACGGTCAGTGCAGATGGGAGTACCTAAAGGGAGAAGCGGATCCAGAAAACATAAGCTTAAGCTGGCTATCTGAGCTGCCAGATGGGGACACCACAACCCTGGGATCCAGCAGTGAGGACACACTGAGTCAGGACCTGGAGAGGGTGTCACTGGGGTCTCTGGGAAAGTGGACATGGGATATCCACTCCATTATTTTAGACCTGTCCACAGCTAACTTCATTGATACAGTGGCTATGAAAACAATTCAAAATGTAAGTGTTTCATTTTAGAGAGATGACAGCAAATTTTGTATGCTGTATGTATGTACACTCATTTAACTTTCCAAAAAGATTTTTCAAGATTTTAGCGAGATTGATGTGGATATCTACTTGGCTGGGTGTCAGAGTAAGTATCAACTATTTTGTGTTGTGTTATTCCAGCAATATACCCAATTCTTGGTGTAAAAATATTTTGCATCTAGCTTCTGTGGTGGAACAGTTGGAAAGAGGGTGCTTTTTCTCTGAATCCATAACAAAGAAGCACCTGTTTGCCACTGTTCATGATGCTGTACTTTTCTGTCTGAATCATCGCGGAGCAAGAACTTTCACTAGATACGAGCCATCTTTGGTGTGTAACTGAAGATAACGATTTTAATGACAGAAATATTCTCCTTCCTGGCTATACAAACTGAATGTTTTGTTTTATTTCAGGACATCTGCATCAGCACAAAGCTTTAAGCTGTTTGACAAGGAAATGCGAAAAATAATAGCTTTTTTTTTTTTTTCTAAAAAACGCTACACTGTTATGACCAATATATATATTATTTTACCTATTGTAAGAAAGTAACAAACCAGTATATACAACTTAATAATTTATCTTTTATTGGTATTTTTTTTTCTTTCAAAAATGAACATCATGATTGTATAAAAACTATACTTTAATGAAAAGACTTTTCTGCTTTATTATATATGATGACCAGCTTCCAGAAAAAAAAAAAGTTTCCCTCAAATGTAAAGATGAAAGACAATTGTAAGACAAGGCAACATGCATAGTCTATTTTAGAAAATGTTGCAATCATTTCTCAGTGCAAAGGTGCATGCAGGTTTCTCTGTGTCTCAAGTTCAAAAGTATTTAGTGCATCATTCCAAACTAATAAAATATAATTCCTCTCCTGACATACATTAATAAATAATACAAAGTACTTGCATAAACCTACTGTGATTCCTTTCCCTGAATTGTCTCTATATACTACCAGTTACTAATAACTGACAGTTAGCAATGTCATTGTGCACAGGAAAGTTGCAGTCTTTTATGTAGGCTACAAGTCTTGGTGGATATCAGAAATAGGAGTGTCAGAAGATACAACTGAACTGTCGTCATCACTGTGCTTCTGGTGCTGTGAGACCAGCTGCTGATACCGAGCCTGGCGCTGGTAATCTGGATCAATGTTGATCCATTTATTGGCAACCCACTTAGTGCCATGGGTGACCACACAGCCGCCATGGAGAGCATATTCATCCTGCTCCCCTACCCAGCCTGCAGGCACACATGGCATGATTCAATGATGTGTAAATAATTTTGAGTTATTGTAATGAGACCTATATCCAACCCTACCTTTTCCATCTGAGAGATAGTTGTACCAGAAAACAGCTGTCCCTTTTGTTGGCTTCACTCTTAGGTTACTCTTATCACAGTTCTTCCTGGTGTCCAGAAGATCTATATCATTCTGTATTAATGACTGAAACACAAAACAAGTATGCAATGTAGTTATTGATTTATGAACTTGCATGTACTGACAAACAGGTGAGTTATGACAGATAAGTGATCATGACATGCACAGTATGTACACACTGCTTTAGCTGGGAACTAGGAACAATCAGTCATCTCTTGCCCCACAATTACGCACCACTTCATCATAGGTCCTGTTGTCTGCCACAGGGAATGCGGTCTCCCCACCCCCTTCAACAGAGTTCAAGTAGAAGAGAACTGTGATGTACCTAAGTGTGCAACACAGATTTAAAGATTGACACACACATGTATGAGGCAAGCACACATACACACATGAAAACATGAATGTACATCTGATGAAAACAGTATTTCAACTGCAAACACTGTTAACTAGCACTTCAGATTTTTTCTGACTACTGTGGTCTTACCGGCATGATGTTTCAAAAGGAGTGGAGGTGTTTGCTGCTAGTCTGGTGTGCGTACAGGCTGTTTCAGGGTAGACTGGTCCACTGTCATGATGGGCGTGATAATGTCCGCCCTCTTCATAACGAACCACTTGTAAAGGCTCACTCAGGTCCACTAAGGCAGGTGGGAGCCGTGTTAGTTTGATTACTCTGTATAAAAACAAATATGGTCATTTGTATTATGGAGAAACTTGGTACTGTAGATTACCTGAATGTTTCTGACCTCTCTTTGATATCTTGAAGGACCTTGTGTGCTCCTTCGCCCTGGTAAAGCCATGTATGCCGGCTATTTCTCACAAGCTGACTTTTCTTGACCCCTTGTTGCTGCAGGAAGCGCTGGAAGGCATCACTACTCAGTAGTCTAAATTCCTCTATACTCAGCAAACCTAACACAACACACACAAAATATTACACTTATTCATTTTAATAAATAACGCATTTGTCACCCATTTAAAAAAAAACAAGTTATTAAGAGATTAATGAGATCATACCATCACCATTCTTGTCAACTTCTAGACCTGCATATATTTCCCTCAAAGTATCTGGTGTTAACCAAATACCATCCCTCACTCGGGAGTGTGTCAATATCTGTGACACACACACACACAAAAAGAAATAAATTAAATGAGTTTGAAAAAAAACTCCTGCTGACTACAGTCTAACATGTAAACACCTCAGTATGCTGCAACTGTCCATCCTGATTTATGTCCAGAAGGTTGAAGATCTCCTCTGGGCTAAGGTTTAGTTCCTTTACCAGTTCTTCATGGTCTCCTTGAACCATAAGCTGGCTTTCCATTAAACCTTTCAGTTGAGCCAGCTGCATTACAACTTGGCATTCATCCTCAGATAAAAAGTCTGAGATTTCTGTAGAGTTTAGATAAGAACACATTTTAGGCATGTAAAAAAATATTTAAAATATAAAATCAGTTTTAAAAAGTATTCATCTTAAAACGCATTTTACACAAACCTAGATCAAATGACAAACTTTTTGAAAACTCCTGGATGATTAAAGGGTATAGAGATAGAAAGTTAATACTAAACACTCTCCATTAAACCATCCTGTGGAATGTTCAAGACAAATTAAGAAGGAGAGGTCTGCCCCCCACCAGGCAGTTACAGGTTAGCTCTGTGAAAAGGCAAGGCCACTCTAAGTGTGGATTCGCGGCCTGGCCTTAAAGATAATGCTGATTCACATGTTGTACATATATAGGCTATATTTAATGTTCTGTGCATCTCACCAAATAGAAGAGGCTTCATACTAAGTGTCCGCATGAGATGATCTTGTCCACGTGTCAATGACACCTTCTGGACATGTCCAACCTAAAAACGTGTCAGAATTATCAGTGAAAGCTGAAGAAAAATAGTTCTAGTATAGCTTCAAAACTGTGTATTAAATCAACGCAACGATATCGATTTTTAAATCATTACTCACCCTTATACCCTCGATTCTTGGAAGTGAAAAATCACGTTGGTATTCAACTTTTGATGGCGTCTCTCTTGAGTTAATGCGCGAGTGGTCAGTGTCATGAGTGTCACGACTTTGGTTATCTTCTTCTTGTCCGCTGCTGTAGTGCACGTAGAATAACAGTGCTATTACATTAATTATGTATACGTGAAAAAACACCATTACAACCACAAAATAGGACCGAGAGCAAATGCTAGTTTTGTTGCACAGGCGCTCGGTCTGCGGGTTGAGTGGCAAGGTCGCGCTCCCCGATGTACCCGGTCCATCACCATCCTGGCTGCTCTGGGTGCCAGTCATTTTATTAGACAGTGTTGCAACGCAACTACAACTTCCCAGTTATAGAAGTCCATTCGATCATAAATCGATGGTATATCTCATCAAAGCACGTAGGGATCTACGCTGGCGTAGGGATCCTCTATATCCCGCAGTAAACGATGCTGCTCTGCTGCTGTCGTGCTGCGCATCCAATTTGCTCGCGCACACCGTGCACACAGACGTTGTACAGTGCATGTCAGGGCTTCGTGCAGAAACCACTGCACAGTGACTGCCGATGCTGTTGACTTTGCAGCATTCAGCCGAGGAGCAAAGCGCACTGCGCACCATGAAACTCATGTCACTTACACCTAAAAAATAGTCTGACCAAAGTGACGGACATGGTACAGTCAAATTCAAAAAACAGTTTTACAAAGATACAATATTCGTTTGGGTATTTTTTTAACAAACGCAAGAACAGCATATTACTACACCCAGTGCACTGCTGCCCTCCAGTGACCAAAAAATGTAATACCAATGAAGAGATGAAGGAAAAGGGGGAAAAAAGAGGAAGACAGACTCGTCGCATCCATTATTATAAGCAACGATTAGGATTCAGACAGTTGTTACCAGGGGATGAACATATGAACATGGCTTGAATATATATATATATATATATATATATATATATATATATATATATATATATATATATATATATATATATATATATGGTTTTAGTTCTGGTTTAGTCCTGGTTTAGACCTGGTTTTAGTTCTGGTTTTAGTTCTACTTGAACCGTCACCTTATCGTGGTGGAGGGGTTTGAGTGCCCGAATGATCCCAGGAGCTATGTTGTCGGGGGCTTCATGCCCCTATTAGGGTCTCCCAAGGCAAACAGGTCCGGGGGGACGGGTCAGACGAAGAACGGTTCAGAAGCCCCACATGATGAGCAACACACAGAGGCCAGTTACGTCGCCCGGATTGGCGTACCGGGGCCTCACCCTGGAGCCAGGCCTGGGGTGGGTGCTCGTCAGCGAGCGCCTGGTGGGCCTTCCCCCACGGGGCCCGGCCGGGCTTAACCCGAAGGAGCGACGTGGGGCCGCCCTTCCGTGGGCCCACCACCTGCGGGAGGAGCCATATGGGGCCGGTGCAGAGAGATCTGGGCGGCAGTCGACGGCGGGGGCCTCGGCGACCGGATCTCCGGACATGGAGACTAGCTCTGGGGACATGGAATGTCACCTCGCTGGGGGGGAAGGAGCCTGAGCTTGTGCGGGAGGTTGAGCGTTACCGATTAGATATAGTCGGCCTCACCTCCACACACAGTTTGGGCTCTGGAACCCAACTCCTTGACTCTGGACTCTCCATTTCTCTGGCGTTGGCCGCGGGGAGCGGCGGCGAGCTGGTCTGGGCCTGCTCATTGCCCCACAGCTCAGTCGCTGTGTGTTGGAGTTCACCCCGGTGAACGAGAGGGTCGCGTCCCTGCGCCTTCGGGTCGGGGACAGGTCTCTCACTGTGGTGTCGGCCTACGGGCCGAACAGCAGTGCTGAGTACCCGGCCTTCTTGGAGTCCCTGGCAGAGGGAGCTGAGCCGAATGAGCTCGATTTACCGGTCAGTCTTCGTTCCTACTCTCACCTATGGTCATGAGCTCTGGGTAGTGACCGAAAGGACGAGATCGCGGATACAAGCGTTTGAAATGAGTTTCCTCCGCAGGGTGGCTGGACGCTCCCTTAGAGATAGGGTGAGGAGCTCAGTCACACGGGAGGAGCTCGGAGTAGAGCCGCTGCTCCTGCACATCGAGAGGAGCCAGTTGAGGTGGCTCGGGCATCTGTTTCGGATGCCTCCTGGGCGCCTCCCTCGGGAGGTGTTCCGGGCATGTCCCACCGGGAGGAGGCCCCGGGGAAGACCCAAGACACGCTGGAGGGACTATGTCTCTCGGCTGGCCTGGGAACGCCTCGGGGTCCCCCCGGAGGAGCTGGAGGACGTGTCTGGGGTGGAGGAAGTCTGGGAGTCCCTGCTTAGACTGCTGCCCCCGCGACCCGGCCCCGGATAAGCGGACGAAAATGGATGGATGGATAAAATTGTATAGGTATTAAATTGAACCGTCACCTTATCGTGGTGGAGGGGTTTGAGTGCCCGAATGATCCCGGGAGCTATGTTGTCGGGGGCTTCATGCCCCTGGTAGGGTCACCCAAGGCAAACAGGTCCAGGGGGACGGGTCAGACGAAGAACGGTTCAGAAGCCCCTATGATGAGTGTACGAGCAAGGCCAGTTACGTCGCCCGGATTGGCGTCACCGGGGCCTCACCCTGGAGCCAGGCCTGGGGTGGGTGCTCGCCAGCGAGCACCTGGTGGCCGAGCCTCCCCCCACGGGGCTCGGCCGGGCTCAGCCCGAAGGAGCGACGTGGGGCCGTCCTCACGTGGGCCCACCACCCGCAGGAGGATCCATATGGGGCCGGTGCAGAGAGATCTGGGCAGCAGTCGACGGCGGGGGCCTCGGCGACCAGATCTCCGGACATGGAGACTAGCTCTGGGGACATGGAATGTCACCTCGCTGGGGGGGAAGGAGCCTGAGCTTGTGCGGGAGGTTGAGCGTTACCGACTAGATATAGTCGGCCTCACCTCCACGCACAGTTTGGGCTCTGGAACCCAACTCCTTGAGAGGGGCTGGACTCTCCATTTCTCTGGCGTTGGCCGCGGGGAGCGGCGGCGAGGCTGGTGTGGGCCTGCTCATTGCCCCACAGCTCAGTCGCTGTGTGTTGGAGTTCACCCCGGTGAACGAGAGGGTCGCGTCCCTGCGCCTTCGGGTCGGGGACAGGTCTCTCACTGTGGTGTCGGCCTACGGGCCGAACAGCAGTGCAGAGTACCCGGCCTTCTTGGAGTCCTTGGGAGGGGTACTAGACAGTGCACCGACCGGGGACTCCGTTGTTCTCCTGGGGGACTTCAACGCCCACGTGGGCAACGACAGTGACACTTGGAGAGGGGTGATTGGGAGGAACGGCCTCCCCGATCTGAACCCGAGTGGTGTTTTGTTATTGGACTTCTGTGCTAGTCACAGTTTGTCCATAACGAACACCATGTTCGAGCACAAGGGTGTCCATAAGTGCACGTGGCACCAGGACACCCTAGGCCGGAGGTCGATGATCGACTTTGTCGTCGTGTCATCTGATCTCCGGCCGCGTGTCTTGGACACTCGGGTGAAGAGAGGGGCTGAGCTGTCAACTGATCACCACCTGGTCGTGAGTTGGGTTCGCTGGCGGAGGAGGAAGCCGGAAAGACCTGGCAGGCCCAAGCGTGTAGTGAGGGTCTGTTTGGGAACGTCTGGCGGAGCCCTCTGTCAGAGGGACCTTCAACTCGCACCTCCGGGAGGACTTCTCCCGGATTCCGGGGGAGGCTGGAGATATGGAGTCCGAGTGGGCTTCATTCTCGGCCTCTATTGTCCAATGCAGCTGCTCGGAGCTGTGGGCGTAAGGTCTGTGGTGCCTGTCGCGGCGGCAACCCCAGAACCCGGTGGTGGACACCGGAAGTAAGGGATGCTGTCAAGCTGAAGAAGGAGTCCTATCGGGCCTTGCTGGCTCGGGGGACTCCTGAGGCAGCTGACAGGTACCGGCGGGCCAAGCGTGCTGCAGCCCGTGTGGTCGCGGAGGCAAAAACTCGGAGCTGGGAGGAGTTCGGGGAGGCCATGGAGAAGGACTATCGGACGGCCTCAAAGAGATTCTGGCAAACCGTCCGGCGCCTCAGGAGGGGAAAGCAGTTCTTCACCAACACTGTTTACAGTGCGGGGGGAGAGCTGTTGACCTCGACTGGGGACGTTGTCCGGCGGTGGAAGGAATACTTTGAGGATCTCCTCAATCCCACCGTCACGTCCTCCGAGGAGGAGGCCGAGGCTGGGGACTCGGAGGCGGACTCATCCATCACCCTGGCCGAAGTCACTGAGGTGGTTGGCAAGCTCCTTGGTGGCAAGGCTCCGGGGTTGGATGAGATCCGTCCTGAGTACCTGAAGTCTCTGGATGTTGTGGGGCTGTCTTGGCTGACACGCCTCTTCAACATCGCGTGGCGGTCGGGGACAGTACCTCTGGACTGGCAAACCGGGGTGGTGGTCCCTCTGTATAAGAAGGGGGACCGGAGGGTGTGTTCCAACTATAGGGGGATCACACTTCTCAGCCTTCCCGGTAAGGTCTATGCCAGGGTACTGGAGAGGAGAATCCGGCCGATAGTCGAACCTCGGATTCAGGAGGAGCAGTGTGGTTTTCGTCCTGGCCGTGGAACACTGGACCAGCTCTACACTCTCCATAGGGTGCTCGAGGGTTCATGGGAGTTTGCCCAACCAGTCCACATGTGTTTTGTGGATCTGGAGAAGGCATTCGACCGTGTCCCTCGTGGTGTCCTGTGGGGGGTGCTCTGGGAGTATGGGGTCCGGGGCCCTTTGCTAAGGGCTGTCCGGTCCCTGTATGACCGGAGCAGGAGCTGTGTTCGCATTGCCGGCAGTAAGTCAGACCTGTTCCCGGTGCATGTTGGACTCCGCCAGGGCTGCCCTTTGTCACCGGTTCTGTTCATTGTATTTATGGACAGAATTTCTAGGCGCAGTCAGGGGCCGGAGGGGGTCCGGTTTGGGGACCACAGGATTTCATCTCTGCTGTTTTGCGGACGATGTTGTCCTGTTGGCTTCATCGAACCAGGACCTGCAATGTGCACTGGGGCGGTTTGCAGCCGAGTGTGAAGCGGCTGGGATGAAGATCAGCTCTTCCAAGTCCGAGGCCATGGTTCTCGACCGGAAAAAGGTGGCTTGCCCTCTCCGGGTGGGTGGGGAGTCTTTGCCTCAAGTGGAGGAGTTCAAGTATCTCGGGGTCTTGTTCACGAGTGAGGGAAGGACGGAACGTGAGATTGACAGGCGGATCGGTGCAGCTTCGGCAGTGATGCGGTCGCTGTATCGGACCGATGTGGTGAAGAGGGAGCTGAGTCGAAAGGCGAAGCTCTCGATTTACCGGTCAGTCTTCGTTCCTACTCTCACCTATGGTCATGAGCTCTGGGTAGTGACCGAAAGGAC